TACGAATATACGGTACGCTATATCCCTTTCTGCACTCATGACAACATGTATACTAATTTCATGACAATCAGTTCAGTATTTAAGTCGTGAAAGTGTAACAAATAAATGAAAACGTATTCACCATGTTAGTCTTAGATGCTCAAATAAAAAAATAAAATCTTTTGAAGAATTACAAAATGCTATCTTAATTAGGACTATTGTTTAGGTAATTTCTTTATAAAGATGATCAAATAATTATATCATATAACTAAATACTTTTACACGCTTCTGTTGCTGAATAAAATGGTTTTGCTAGTAGTAGGCCATCCTTGTAATATACACAAGCCCTTAATAACAAGTCTGTTTTACTACCGGTGATACAGAGAACGCAGGAACCAACCTCAAAACGTACGACGCAATTTACCGATATGGAATATAATTAATGTAAGACTTACAAAACAGGTTTCTTATAATGCAATTTTATTACTGATCGATCAAAATAGATTATCAGATTATCAATCAACTTTCATTAGATTTTATTTAAGGTACATAACAAGCATTTGTAAGCAATATTCTTATATACTTTATAGATAGAATACGTCAATAGTAAACCACTGTAAAAAAAAAACTCGTGCTCATCCACTCAGTATGCCGTTTGCAAGCTGGCTTAAATTCTAGATTTAGTCTGATTAGGCGACATAAGCTGATGTCACCCGATTTGATGTGTCCTTGTTTATTTCAAACGATCCAATAAAAACAATAGGGAGTATGCATGTATTTTTTTTATTTTATTTTTTAACGATTCTACTAGTTATTACATTACCAAAAAAAAAAATAACACATCCGAAATATAAACCGTTAAGCAAAAAAAAAATTATTAAAATCACTATCATTTTGGGGCAATTTGAACACGTCCATTTTGGTGCGCTTTTTTTGTGACGTCAGATTAAAAACACTCAGACGAATTCGATGTCAACAACGGAGTAAAGTTCACAAAGTTTCTGAAAGTTAAAAAAGTGAGTGATAAAAATTAACTTATTACCATGGAAAGCCATTAAAAACTTATCTATACTAATATTATAAAGCTGAAGAGTTTGTTTGTTTGTTTGTTTGAACGCGCTAATCTCAGGAACTACTGGTCCGATTTGAAAAATTCTTTCAGTGTTAGATAGCCCATTTATCGAGGAAGGCTATAGGCTATATATCATCACGCTAAGTCCAATAGGAGCGGAGCACCAATGAAGAATGTTTCAAAAACGGAGAAAATTTATTACTATTGAGAGACGCAGACGAAGTTGCGCGGGTCAGCTAGTTATAAATATTGTGCCGTTCCTTTGTGCCCAAATAATATCAAATCTGCACCTGACAAAGTATATTCAGTCATTGTGTTGAGTCTTTCTACACGGGAATTTAATAATTTAACACTGAAAACGTATTAGTTATTAATTTAAAATGAAACAAATAATCACCAGGAACCAAATATTACAAATACACACAACTTGTTGACACTCTTGACAATGTAGGTTGACGTCACGTTTTATTCAACTTCTCTTAAATGAATCTGAAAAAAGCCAATTTTTGATGATTAAATTTCACTATTAAATTGTAATAAATTTCAAAAATAATTGTATGGGTATCTTTTTTTAGCAATAAAAATTACAAATAAAATATTTTGTCCATTTTGGTGTCACGTGCATATTCCCTATTTAACGTGTGATTAGAATATACTCACACAAGGTCCAATACTGTTGTGTAGGTCCAACACTTTGTGTCCGGTTTGTAAAGCTGTTGCTTTACAACTACAACCGGGAACAAAGTTTTTTTTAGGAAAAAGGGATAAACGAGCAGCACTCTAAAAGCTGGTACTTGAATGAAAAAAAATTAACAATAATAGTTATTATTAATATTATAACTAACAATTATTTAATTATTCTCATTATTCGTAGACGTTTTTATTATTAGATCTTATAAATGTCTATACATAATTTGAAAAAAAAAACCCTGAGTTACTCTGACCGAATTATTATATTATTTTCTGACAAAATCATACTCGTCATCGTCATCAAAGTTAATCAGAAGTAAGTTACTCAATGGGTACGTCTAACATACCTGCGCCCTTTCGAGTCCCTCCCCTTTCATTAGTAGAGAGGGGGTGAGGGGTAATCCCACTTACTAGGTAAAAAGCAGCGAAAGATTTCACAGCTGAACAGCCTTTTCTTGCGAGACCGTGGTATTTATTACTTTGGTCGGACCAGTCCACATGTACAGAAGCATGTCTCTTCCACGATTAAACACATTACAACTCCTAAAACCAGGAGCGAAAAAAAACACGATGCACATCACGACATCATCACTGCGATGTTTCATTAAAATTATAATGAACTCTTAATTTTTCATTGTGCTAATATAAAGCTGACATAGACCAGTATTGCTTATTGTGCATCAGGCTTGGCACCAATTTCAAACAGACTAGAAGGGACTATTACTCTTAAAATGTCACCTGTTATTGTACTTATTGTAGTTTTTTACTTAGATTTGTAATTATTCTTAAATTTTTTGTGCTCTTTATCAGTATTGTTTGAAGGTGGTTAACCTTTTTTTTTTTAAAAGGATTTATTCCGAACAGCTTTTACACAGATAATTCTTACATCGTAATACGATAAGTCAAACAGGTAGGCAGTGATTACGAAGAGGGTAAATGATCGTTCAAGGTACCGAGGAAGTGAATGTGGAAGGGCGGTGGATGCTATAATTACTTCAACTTGAAACTACGTAACGACCGGATTGTTCAGTAAATGTTCTTGAGACCATATTGAAAGGTTTTGGTTATATTTCAATGTTATTAATGCATAGAGCAAACAATTTGTGCAATGCATTATATTGTTTGCTCTTTGGAACTATAACCTTATCCAGGCAATCAACCAAGCAATCAAATGCTTTTCTGCCGCCTACAGAACTCTGTCGTTATGATTTATTTGTAAATTTAATTGTATCAAATTTAATTGTATTAAGTGTATCAGGCTTCAGGCTATGTTCTGGATGTATCTTTCTTTCTTAAAGACAACTCAAGCATTGAATCTTAATGTTGCGTTATTTTATGTGTGTAGTAGTCACACAGGGGGGGGGGGGGTCGTCTACCCGCCGTAGATGGCCCGAGGTACGTCGGGGCACCAGGGATTTCCTTTCTAGGGTACACCTGGTTCCCCGACTACTGGTACCTGAGACGGCGTGCGGTTTTAGTCGGTTCGAGTCCGGTAAGTGGTATCCAAGGGGATTTCCGCACAGAAAAAAAGGTGTGTAGTATTACAAAAACCTTCAATTGCTACTAGTGAATGCAGACAATTTGATGTAACATCTTTAATTTGAAGTTAGTGCATAGAAAATTATATTATACGTATGTTCATTTGTATAAATGTATCAAATAAAGTATCTATTTATACTCGTAATAACACCTATTTAATAAATGCAAATGAATTTCTGTTGTTTTTAACAAACAAAATAAATTTTTAAATTAAAGTTTGTATCTTTTAATACGGTTTTTTCCCGGAACTAGTGGAAAGATTGCCACTGGAATTTCTTTTACTAATAAAAAAAATGAATGGGTTAGCGAACCTCTAGTATCTTTAATAAAATATAATTTATTTTATTGTGATTAGAATTCGCAAGAATAAAATGATTCATCCGGACTATGATGTACTTCTTCCGTTTATCTTTACTAGTAAAAAATATTGATAACACAAGTGAAATCTAGGTCGTCGGCTTCCACATACTTGCCTTCTGATATGTTACCGGAACACTGCTGTAATTACTGCACAGGTTTAGATCTGGGTACTGTAATAGGATGTTCATATTTTGGTAGCAATTGGAAGCCAATAATTACATCCTTACTTTACAGCTATTTAGAACATGTTTGGTCGATTTAACATGGATTTGTTGTTGCATATGATTATATTACGTTACAACATTACAGTTAACGTTGAGTGCATTAATTTAACTTGTATAATAGTTGATGGACTGAGACTGAAATGGTTCAACAAAGAAAATCCCTTGCTTTAAATAAACTGTTATGAATGATGTTTAAAATTGATAGTACTTAAACTGGATAAAATATACCTAGAGAAACCTACCTACCTTTCTTATGTAAATAAAATCAATTAGTATATTTCGGGATATCTTTCAGCTGAGTTAATAAATTTCATCATTAACAGCTTGTACTAGTCCCTTGCTGGACATAGGCCTCTCTTTAGAAAGGAGGGTTTGGCCTACTATACCACGATGGCCAGATGGATTGCTATAGGATTTGTTTCAAGTTTTCCTTCTCTTTGAAGTGCTGTTGTCCTGCGTAGTTTGTTCCCTTAGTTGGCTCTTACGACACCCACGGGATAAATAGGGGTGTTGACATTTCGTATCCCTAATCCGTCACCACACGGACAGTAATAATAACGGATAATAAATTTGCGAAGGGGATAAAAGATGTTGCTATAGATAAACAGGTAAAGCTAAAATAAATCTTGTGAAAACATGGTTACCATAGTACAGGCTCTGCCAAGTTTGGGATCAGACGGCCGTGTGTGAAATGTGTGAGATATATTATTTATTATTATTATATTTTGTGTATGTCGTGAAAACATGCCTAGACAGATAGAAAAAATTATAAAATTCCCTTTATGGTAAAATATTGATTATAATTCACGGTACATATATTATATTATGTATAAGTGCGTTTATTGTACACAGGGCCGCCTATTTCCTTCTAGAGATTTTTAAAATCTATTAGCACTTAAAGATTTATTAATTCTGTGTATTACAGTTATAACGGATCAAGGCCATTTGTAATGTGTATCAAGCATTACCTACCTACCTGGTAACACCTTTATACGGCTTTTCGCCTTTACATTTACAGTTACGTATTTTAACTGATAACTCATATTATTATAGATACTCTTATTTTAATAGATTTTTGCACGTAACCAGTAATTGCTGTAAAAGGAAACTCATAGATAAATCGTACCGTTAAAAGAATGGGCACTTCACCTTGGATAAAAGCGGGTAATTATATATAAACGTATGAGGTATGCAGTAATACGTGCCGGTATAATTATTACATGTTGAAAAAATAATACATGTAATTATCGTCATTTTTTGTTTGTATGTTTGTATGTATGTATGTATGTGCAAACGAACAGACGGTAACTGATTATTGCCGCCTAACAGTTGCAAGTCGAGAACCACAAGTGCCTTGCCAGCTTTTTAATAACCCCTTTCCTTTCTTTAACTTAACGCACTTGGTGAAAAGCACTGACATAATCAGATGATGAACGTCCGACTTGTAACATTATCTAAAAATATTTACTTACAGAAATAAATATCATTTATCATTGTCGCTATCAACATTGTCAATTAGCACACACCTACGTAAACTGGTGAGGGTGGTGTGTGTTGGGTCGGTGTACTTTAGTAGCTCCTTTTTTCAGTTGTTTTGTAGTATGATAATGATACGTAGGCTATTACCAATAAGCATGTTTGGCATAGTGCTGGAGTGAGCATTTTGAACTTCAAAATATATAAAAAATAAATTATAGTTAAAAAAACTTAAAATACACGTTTGTGTAGCTAGCCGAACTAAAAAGTAGGAAATAATTTTATATTAATTAAAAAAGAAAAATCATTTTTCGTAAAAAAAACGTGGGTGCTAGGATTTCAATTGTTGTAAAAATATGTTACTGACAGATAGTGGTAAAAGTAAAGAATTATAAAATACCTTGAAAAGCAGTCTGTGTTAGAAAGCAAAATAAAAAATACATGGTTACTTAATATTTCCATACTATTTAAATTGCAATACAAAACGGTAGATTGATGTTAGTGTAATTTTTAATATTTTCTTATTATACGTCTAATCATCCCGTGGGTGTCGTAAGAGTCGACTAAAGGAACAAACTCCACAGGACAACAGCACTGCAAAAAGAAGGAAAACCCATAACAAACCCTATACGAACCCGTCTGGCCAGCGTGGTATAGTAGGCCAATACCTCCTTTCTAAGGAGAGGCCTATGTCCAGCAGTGGACTATTATAGGCTGATGATGATGTTGATGATGATACGTCTAAGTTACATACTAATAATATTTATTTATATCTTTACAGAAATCGTGCAACCAACATGTGTGTTGGAGTCAGACTTCGGGTTCAAAATCAATTGCGCGTTCAAAAAGTCCGGCCTCTTCAGAGTACGGAATCTGGGCGGACTTAAAGCGCATGCTAGCATAGGTGAGTATTTAACAAGTATTTTTAATTAAAGGTTAGTTATTCATAAGCTTGTTATTATGTGATTTGAAGTTATACCTAATTAAATAAAAAAATACATCCGATTTCCATTACATTTTTTTCTATTTATCTTCTTTTATCGGCCGTGTGTGAGATGTGTGAAAATATTATTATTATTATTTATTTATTTTCATTTTATTTACCGTGTACGGTTTTGCTGTGGCGTGGCGGTGTGTAACGGCCTGAGGTCTTGACCGCACTTTATGACAGCTCTGCCCTTTTTAACGTTTGGAAACCCCCTCGGGCCGTCACCCCACCGGGGTTTAGGAGGGGGCGGAATGCCGGATAAGACATGACTAACAGAGTGTGCTACTCTGCACCTGAAATAGGAAGTATCCGGATACCTGGTCTGGAGCTCTTAATAACAGCTGTTCCATGACAAACGTGCATTCTTGAAGCAGAATAAATCTCTGTGCCTCGCAAACACGCGAGGCAGAAATATTGATAAGAAATGTTGACTGGACTACAGCATGAGACAGTAGATTAAATAAATCTAATTTAGAATTAAATGGTTAAGATTCAATGATAATGACTGATTGATTAAATTTTTTGTGGTATTCACCATCTAAGATTTAGTTCTATGCGTTGCGTAAAGGGCGTTTCCAATTATTTCCATTCGTTAAAGATGTTTCGACGCATCAACAAAAAGGTGGCAAATGACTAATTAATAATTATTCTGATTTCAGGTTTCAGTCTAGGAGATGAGCTAGGTTTTGAACAATCGTTAACAAATTTGGATACAAGCCGGCGAAGATCTGTTAATATCAAAAATGGTGCTCCGGCCAACGTTGTTGCAGCCAATTCAAGACCTAGCAAGCAAGAGGTAGGGCCTTTTTACTTATTTCCTCTAATTATACTTATATAATACCAAATTGAGTAACAATTCGCTTTCTCAAACATATCATAACAAGGGTAAATCACCTTTATCTTGACTGAATGTCATCGAATTTCCTTATTGCTGTAAAAGGATTCCATTGGTCGGTCCATCTTGTTGGGGCACCACTGATTGGCGGATATAAAAGAGTAATAGTAATATGTGACCCATTATCATCATCATCAGTCTTTAATAGTCCACTGCTGAACATAGGCCTCTCCTTAGAAAGTAGGTTTTGGCCTACTATACCACGCTGGCCAGACGGGTTGGTCTAGGGTTTGTTATAAGTTTTCCTTCTTTTTGCAGTGCTATTGTCATTCATAGTTTGCTCCCTTAGTCGGCTCTTCGACACTCACGAGATGAATACGGGTAGTGACACTCTGTATTCTTAAACCGTCACCACACGGACTTCAGTGTGATATGACACAAATTAATCTCATCTCTTTTTCCTAAAAGGAAACACTAACTTAATTTATTGACTTGGTTAATTTATGGACTTTCTCGCTAAGGTGAATCAGTCTCAATCCCACTTATAGTCGTGAGGCTTGCGTTTCTTCTTACTCTGGCTCTCACTCATGTCTTGGCTCTGTCGGAAAACATTAGCACGAAGACTTGGCGTCAGGCATGAGACAGCCAATAGAAAGAAACTAGCCAATCAAAAATCTTTTGCAAAGCTACACATTTCACCCACAAATATAAAGAAATTGTATTTGTGTAATCCTGTAAACGAAAACTCCCGTCATCACCAGACAACATCACGTTAACTAAACCAGATAAGTATACTTAGCTAGTAAAAAAAAAAATAAGACACAACAGTCTACCAAAAAAAATCATTAGGTCAAACAGTATTTCAGAAGAAGCCATAAAACCTAGCATGCTCAACTTCTAGGTCAACAAAAGTGTAACAAAAACTAATAACAACCAAGAAACTAAAAGTGAGAACACGTAGCAATTCCGTCCCTCCTACCACACTTTAGCAACAAATGAACAAAAAATAAATATAGAAATAATCTTCCAACCCGGTTGGTCACCGTGGAAGAATACGACTAAAACCCTCCAATGAACACACCAACAGAGAAGAACAGTCCCTTTCATAACCGCAAACTTAAGATTGCAACATACACCATCCGGGCTCTATCGTCATATGATCACTTACTGCCACTAAAGAAAAAAAGAAGATATAAGAAAAAGAAACAACATGGACCAGATAGAGGAATATGAAAACTTTGTACTATGCTACATACAAGTAGCACAAGACAGAGTCAAATAAGGATCACTGGACGAGGTCTTTCCCAGTCTGGGGTTCCAATAAATTAAATAAATAATTAGATACGATAAATAAACATATCAAAAATAGTTATAGATAAAAATGTATTGTTATAAATGTAGGTAAGATTATATTTTACAGTGAGAACTAAAATAAGGAAAATAATATATATATATTAAATATAAATATATATATATACCTATTTGTATGTATGTATATATATAAATACATACAAACAGAGATACAGATATATATTTAGATGGATAGATAGTTAAATAAAATAAAACAAATAACAGAACAAACTAATACATACATAAATTATAAGAAATGTAAATTTACAGGAAGTAAAAGGCTTTTTATTTTATTTATCCCGTTATTACTCTAGAATGCCCGATTCGTGCTTAAAACCGTGAGTTCCCGATTAGTTTTTGCATTATTTAATGTTTACCTTGTTATGCTGGTACTTATCGACATTGCATCAGTATACCCAAATTGGGAACCTAAAGCAATACCGTAATACACATTTACATACAAGATAACCATTATTTCTACATGAAATATATAAAATGAGCCTTACGTGGGTCCATTAACCAACATAAAATGATATTTTACTGTATTTGTACTAAGACAACATGTAATAGTTTGCATATTGTCTCGATTAATGGGTTCGTAAGGCCATAAATTGTTGGCTACGAATGTGTATGTAATACAAATGTAGACTATATAATTCAAATTCTGAATTACGACGTCACGAAACATAGTGCTTTAATCTGGCAGAAAGCGTTATCTATACTCTATACAAATAAATAAAATTGAAGTGTCTGTTTGTAATGTCAAAATAATAGGTTTTTTTTCATGCTTACACGGTTATTTGCACGAAATCTATGCCTAATAACCAGTTTGAATATTTTTGTCTGTCTGTCTGTTTGTTCCGGGTTATCTTCAAAACGGCTGAACCGATTTTTGATAATATTTTACCTTCAAGTAGCTGTCTATATAAGGAGTAACTTAGGCTATTTTTTATCTGAGAAAAACCCTATTAAATTTTGCCTGGTCCGGGAATCGAACTCACTAAGGTAGCGCTTTACAAATTCCACGCGAACGAAGTCGCGGTCACCAGCTAATAGACTAATATGTTGAAAACTTTCACTATCGAATACAATAAGTAAAATTAATTGCATGGACTAAATACTATATAATGTGATTTATCATACTTCACAATATCAATATACTTATCATGTTAAACGAATGATTTATTTATCATAAAATCAAACTTAAAAAAGCCATAATATACCTATTTATGTGTATGTAATGTGTTTCCAGAAACGTGGCAAGCAGAACAGGATAATGCGGCCAATGGCTCCTGGCAACCGTCCAAACCAAGCAGCTATGGATAAACTGACAAGTCTACACCGAAGAGTCAGCAGTACGATGCAGCCAATCATAGTCCAGCCACCCGCCGAGCAGATTAAACCGAAACCAACCATACCCTCCGTCACCATGGCTAAACCAATGGCAATGGGGGTGCCACCCTTCAAACCTCTGCCGCCAAAAGATGACCTCGCTGTCATACCAATTCACTCAACGAGGAAAACATACACACCACTGCAAATCCCAGAATCCAAGGGCCCAGGATTAGCGTATCAAAGTGAGCTATACCCTCAATCACACAACCAAATATCAAAAATGGTCTCGCAAATGACTGCACAACAGTACTCGCCAGTCAGATTTTCACCATCTCCCTTCATAGTAGATCCCAAACAACATTCCATAAATACTGTTAACCAATTTGTACCCATGCCTTCATCAGGTATCTCAGTCATACCAGCACCTGTACTCAAAGAGATACACACACCAAAACCCACTTACTCTTCACCTAACATACCTAGACCTAATTCTGTATCTGTCCAAAAACATCCTTTTTCTAACTTTGTAGACCCCGTTCCACATCAAGTCCACGACCTGGCCGTTTATAACACGAAGAAAGTCGACGATTACAATTCAATAACAGGATATGGAGACGACAGTGTCTTAAAAATTAATAAAGAAGACATCAATGCAAAGATTGCTGAAATAGCTAAAGCTGGAAATATATCAATGGAAGCTGTTGAAGCAGCTATTTCTCTGAGACAGCAGCAAATCTTAAGCAAATACGCAAATATTCCTGTGTCGACTCCTAAACCCACTACTAGTACTACAACCACAACGACCACTGAACAGCCTTTCGTCTTCCAACCTGAGCCTGAACCAGAAATATTGACTGCAGCTTTACCTCAGAAGTCAAAGAGGTGTGTTATTTAGAATAATTACCTAAGGGGGGGTTGTGTCTATATTTTGTTTTGTCAATACTAATCCTTACAGGAACAGGTTAATTTATTATTTGCAAGCTTATAATATACATGTTCATTTAATTCTAATTTGGGAATAGAGACTTTACTAACCGACCAGAGAATAATCATCGAGCGTCATTAAATAAATTTCTAACTAGATTTTTCGTTTTCTTGGGTTTGGTAAACTACATAAAGCAAAAGGAAGGTATACTTACGATTACATAACGATATCTAACGATAGTTTAACAATTTAATATAGCAGAAGACATTTTAAAGACAGAAAATTTTGATTAAATTGGACTTAAATAGACAAAAAGGACAATAGAAATGGTTCTTATTAGGCAATAAATGTGCATATAAAGAATGCATGTAAAATATTTATGGTTTTAAGATAGTGGTGCATGTTTGTCAACTTAATTAAAACATTACGATTTATTATATTTATGCTTCACACCGCTTTTGGCATGCTTAGAGACCCACACCTCAAATTTCAGAGTACCAGTTTCTGGAAAAGTGATGAATGCACCGCGGGAGTATTACCCTATTGGATATGAGAAGAACTTCGATGATCACTTCCAGTCTAAGGTCGAATTGCCGGAGACAAATTTCCATTGCGGTGATCAGAAGTACTTCCCTGGATTGTATGGCGATGAGAGTCTTGGGTGTATGGTGAGTAGATACCGTTTAAACACACGATGATTAGTTTCAAATGTCATAAATTTTGAGTCGCATATAAATAAAAATATTATTTTCATTACAACTTACTTTTAATCGACGAAAAACTGAGCGTTAAAATAAAACTGGCAATCGCCCGGAGCTCGAATTTTGTTTTAAATAATTTATTTCTTATCCCAATTAGAAAATCATTTTAGGTATAGACTTTTGTAACATGGCAGATCAAAATATATACTGAACCCTTATAGCTATAATAGTAATAAATCGTTTATTAAAATAACATTTGACTCATTTGGATAACATTTGGTTAGTAAGAATACATTTTCTTATGTATGAAAATTTATGTATGTGTACCACAACTTTACAACCGAAGTAGAAAGCCTGCAGCAGCGTTAAATGCTGTTGGGGCTGGCTCGCATACATACGTAGTTGTTTCTAAACTTTAAACATTAAAAATTACACATTCTTGGAAAAAAATACGAAAAAATGTCCTCAGGTATTAATATGTTGCACCAGGGACTTCCTTTCTAAGGTATACCTGGTTCCCCGGCTATTAGTACCCGAGACGGCGTGCGGTTTTAGTCGGTTTGAGTTCGACATGCCACCGATAGGTGGTATCCGAGGGGATTTCCGCACGGAAAAAAATAAATGGTATTAATATGTAAACATTAATAACTAGATGAACCCGAAACCCAAAAATCGGAGTTGAAAAATTAGGGTCGAAATTAGACCACTAGGTCTAATGTCCATCCTAATTTATTAACTTCGACTTTATAATGTTCAGTTTTATAGTACCTACACAGTATGACGTGATTTATTTTTTGTAAATTCTCTTCAATTATCAATAAACTTTGTTGCCAGGTGTTCCACGTCTGTGCTCTAACAGACGATGGACTCGTCATGAAATCCTTCCTCTGTCCTGAGTCCACGCTCTTCGACCAGACCATCCTCAAATGCAACTGGTGGTTCTACGTCGACTGCAAGAATACCAAGAAGTTATATGATACCAACATACCAGTCTCTAAGAGCTACCAGTTGATGAAGGCACTAACCTTCTTCTCTTCATATAAGAAGGAAATGCAGGATGGTAAGATTATACTTTTAAAGTTAGACCAGCTGTGAACGCCAGAGCTTCATTGGAGTGCATATGTATTTTTTCGTATTTTTTCTTGCGCAGAACCATAATTCATTTCCCAAACTAACATAGACTTTGTTTGACTTTATAACATTGCCTATCTGTAAGTAAAGGTTCAGTAATCAGTCCACTCGTTTCGGACAATAGCCCGAACGACCAGACAGACAGTCACATAAAAAATTAAAATAAATTTGTTTTATGGTATTTCTGTGTATTCAGATGAACTCAGTAGAAAGCTGCTCATAAAATATTCTTGCAAACCAAGAAAGGCAATTAATAAACTCTTGGTTCTACAGCTATCAGGAGAGTCAAGAGCTTAGGGTTACAAGGGTTAATTTTAACACTCACTTTATTACACCATATTTCAGGTCAAAAACCCAGTCCCGAAGAAGTGGACGGCGTCAAAGAAGCTATATCCATCCTACAAAATGCACAACCTAACGCGCCACAACCTAGCATAGTGAATATTTCTAATACAGGCCCAATTGCCAATGTTAGTAGTAACACCAATGGTGCAAGCAATATTCAATTTATTGCTCCTACTCCAATCATAGACGAGAGAAACCGCAGAACAACTACGGAGTCGGCACCCGTATATAGAGGAACCAGAAACCACAATTCTACAAGAAATATCAAAAGAAGCAATAATGCAGAGACCGGACAAGATAAACTCATCACATTAAATGCTGAAATAAATTTCGCTGAAAACAATAGCACTGAAAATGATTCCCGCGAAAGAAAACATAGGCGAAGAATGACTTTGAAAAATAATAATTCTATAACAAAAAGCACTACAACAACTACTACAAAGCCCGTAGCAATATCGCCTTTAATTGAAGCGATGAAACAAGAAATTCAACCGATAGAAATAAATAATTTACAAAAGCAAGAAAAATTAACTGATCAAATTGAAAATTTGAATCCTAATGCAGCCAACTTGGCTCCGGTGAGACGGTTTTATAGATCGAGTGCAGAGAAAATTGAAGAGAAAGAAATGGCTGTTGTTAATAATGAAAAGATCCAAATCGTGAGACCTACATCACAGTCAAGACTAGTAGGACATTATCCTACTCCTAGTGCTGCGATAGCGAAGCTAGATGAGGCTGTCTTAGGGAAAGTCAGGACGAAGAAACACACTGTAACAATAGTTACGCCAATAGAAAGTCCAAAAACGTAGTCTGAAAATAGTCAATTGTTAAGTGTCATAAATAAGTTATTTATTGCCAATACGTGTGTACGGTGTACTATAGGACGTATTTGCTCAATTTTTGTACTTTTGTAGTCTATGAATGGAGTCAAGTGATATTACGGTGTATGTTTAGTTGTTTAGTAAATTTTTCTAACTTATGTTTTTGTTTTATTTCATTCGGAGGGATGAGGAAAATGGGATGGAATGGAAAAGTGAGAATATGGCTAGGAAGGGAGTTAACAGTTAGAAGACGAATAGTAGAGTAGAATGCAATAATCATACGTACTGCGCCGACCGGTACAAAGTGGCCGGCCCGACCAGATTGACACCACGGCCTCACAGAAAACCGGTGTTTAGCAATTCACCAAGGGAGTGAGGTAACCAGAGCCTATACCTCCCTAGATTTTGGGCGAGGACACAAATTACAGCAACACCTTTTCTTATGTTAGAGGGAGCAGACGGGTCACCCGTGAACGTCTGCAACTCAGGAGTCACAAACGCGTTTCCGGCCTTTTAGGAAAGAGTACGCTCTTTTCTTGAAGGTTTGAAGGTCGTATCGATCCGGAAACACCGCAGACGATAACCCATTCCACAGATTGGTTGTGCGGGGCAAAAAGTGAAATTTTGCCGTGTGGAACGATGGCGGAAAGTGCGGCTGGTATTAGTACTCTTGGAGTCCGTCCAATTGTTTGCCCTCCTATGCCCAATACCTGAAATATATCTTTAGGTATGCCACTCAGTAGTAAATAAATACGATTAAAGTTGCAGGCCTTTCCATTCACTTGACCGTTTACGACAACTATCATAAAGAAGTTCCACAAATTTTCAATAGATGTCATTGTTTGTCGTATCCATTTGTAACTAACAAAACTTGTAAAGCGATTGAAACAGTGCCACTGTTATCACTCCGCTCTCACCATTGTTGCATTAGAGTCTAGATAATCTCTCTTTTTTCTTTATTCAAGTTAGAGTATTAGTGATTACGGATTGGTATACAACTTAAGTTTGTTCATAGAACTCTGAAAGTAGGTTTCTTTAATTTTCTTTTACGTGCCGTACCATGACTCTCTTCCACAGGGTATATTATTGATAACACTAAAGACAGATAAAAACAAAATCGTTCACTTGATTCGTTCAATAAAACAACATTAATTACAAAATGTTTTATCGTCTTCAAAAATAATTTACAAACTCCAGATAAAAATATAACAACCGTTTACTTACACTTGGCCTTCTTATTTTTCCTAATTGCTTTTATAATCTTCTTACAAGCAATAGGAGCAATGATTATAACGCCTGCTGTTATTGCCAGGGTCATATAACTCAGACATGCACATTTCGTGTGGAAAAGAATAAACGGGAAAGTCATTTTTAATGCACAACAACAAACAACAAATTTACACTGCTCCTATTTCTGACAGAATGTCTCAAACTAAAATTTTGTTAATACAAAAACTAGTTGGAATAAAGTTCCTTTATAAAGGCGAACAAGTTTTATAATTACAATATTATGTAAATCTTAGGTTATTAATCAACACGAAGAACTAATGTAAGGATAAAATCCAGGTTCAGACGATAAAGGACTATAAGTCGCTGGTGATTCCAGCCACTTTGGTCACAAAGCAATTATGCGCTCGATTTTACATCTGAAACAAAATATTTTCAAATTTAATATTATCAACAAAATTTGATTGTTGTTTTAGACAATTTAAGTACTTTAAGAGTTTTCTTATTTAAATTATAGCTCTCTCCATTCTAAGTTATGTAAATGTATAATGCAAAGAAGCTTTTGGGAACTTAATTCCAATACTTTGACTTTGTTAAAAGTGTATGAACAGTTAGTTATGGTAAAGGATTGTTAAGTAAAACAAAAATTATTGACAAATGTTTTATTAGAAGTTACGAATTGAACAAACTGATATCAGACTAAACAAATTATCTACGGCACCTACTCCTAGATCTAGGTTTGTAAGATGCTACCAAACACTTTAAGATCTTTTCGAAAGCTATCGGACCCATGACGATTAAAGCGGCCCCGGCCATAGCGGTGATTGCGCCCATACATACTATATTAGTACCAACTATCGGACACATAGGCATTGTAACTGATTATTTGAGTGTACCTCTAAACAAATTAAAATAGAACAGAGTTACTCACTCGGCGTGTAACAAAATCACTTTCAAAAGAGAATGAGTAAGTTCGATAATTTACGATCAACTTAATTCAAGAGAAGAATTGGTACAAAACTCGTGATTAAAATGGCTTGCCGCAATCAGGACAGATGGGTGTAGATGGACAGTGACAATGGATGTTGAATATATGTCGCATCCAAAATGGCGCGCAGGCTATAACGGTGGCGACAGTTATCAAAGTAGCTAACGTTACACAAATTGGCATTCGTGCGAGACAATTGTTGATTACCTGAAACAAAGTAAAAGTACTGATAATAGAGCAGTTGACAGTGTATCTTGAGGAAATTTTTAAAGAAATAAATGAAACAAGTTTACAATTAGTTCAACAAAAACTGAATTATTTAAGTTAAATAAAAACTAGAATAGGAAGAAGTAGGCATAAAAGAGAAGACGCATTAGTGTCTAGTCGAATGTGTCTCTGTTGCTTGAAATAAGAAACGTTTTACAACAATTGAAATATGTTTCGATAGTTTTTTGAATATTGTTTCAATAATAAAATAGTCAACCGCCCTATTTTATGAAATAAATTATATCCATTTAAAAAGTCTTGCAAACCCAAAGAGCTAGTGACATAAGAAAAAATGAACCTGCATGGACACTATGGACAGACTTCACCGAGGCGAAGGACGAACCGGCTTTGCTACACGTATAAGATATGAGGTTCGGTCTGAAGCTATACGCTAGCATAGCTATATATATATATATCAGTTTTAATATAGCCAATCAAACTTTTTTAAAGGATTGACTGAAATGAATGATTTGCTCTTGCATCTGGGTGATTCAGTTAGATGTGCAAAGCTGGTACTCCTAAGCTTACTAGAGCGAGATTTACTTCTTTAAGTAAAGAAATTCTCGTGGTAACCACGTAGGTTATCACATTTCAAAGTCAAGCTTCCTAGCCAACCTAGTCTATGGACGGATAGTCTACGAACATCCATCGTTATGGGTAGTTAGAGTAAAAAAGTCCGACAACAGTATTTCTACAGAACTTTGATATCAACTAGAACTTGGGTTGTGGAGGTGTGATGGCAGTTAGTAAATTTCAGTCTTATCGTAGTAGACTTAAAGGCGACCCCAACCTAGTTTAGGAAAAAGGCTCGGAGGAAGAAATGAGAATTCCGTGTGAAGAAATAAGTGAATTTCCATCGATCGCAACCTAATTAAGTTGTCGTGGCGCGAGGCATGTGCTTTATCATGGTCCCGATAGGGCGGACATTCAACAATATTCTGCAGTTAAAGGATGCCACTGACTTATGGACCAGACCAATTTTGTCTGTCATGTCATTCATGATTTCGGTTTAAGGTTTGACAGATAATTTGCTTAAAGTTAGATTTAAGGGGAGACGAATCTAAATATTTTCCGCCTGATGTCTCGCTTATAACCCCTGGATCCTCAAACTTTTAGGCACTATATAAGTACGGAAGTGAATCTGGTTACGTCAAGTAACTACAGTCGCTACGAGTCCACCAGAACAATCACTTGACACTCGTCAATATTCCTTAGCTTCGGTGGTAAGTATCAAAACCTTATGCCAAATGGACGTCCAATTTTGGCAGAAATTAGTTTTCGTTATTTTAAAATAATATATTTTGATTATTGTTAGTGTTTGTGAACAAAATACATGCAGCTTGTCATTAGAAATTTGATTATTCCATGTGTGGTAATACGTATATAAGAAATAAAACTATATATGTGAATCAGCAAAAGTTTATTACATATCCTATAATGCGATTAACAACAACAATATTTAACACTAGATTACTATCAAAATCAATCAATTATCGTTTACTCTTAATGAAGCATTTCAATAATTTCTCACAGACCAGGGGTCCGCAAGCTATGCAGCTAGCTGCCACCAGGGCCGTCGCACAGCTCATGCAAATCATCTTCTCTGTTTGCAGCAACAGCCCCTCACGGCACAAGGACTTCAATATCCACAACTGATGTGTCTGGTCAAATGCTGCACAACCCGCAGACTTCTTATCGGTGGTTACCTGAAACAAAAAAAGAGATCTGTTACAAGATTAATACAAAAAAAAATATACACATTTGAAGCTGTTAAAAACAATTTAAAGTATTAATTGAGCTTGATGGGACTTAACGTTAATAATGCGGGATGCACCTCTTAAGAAGTTGTGAGCACAGGTTATACAAGTCAAGTAATTAGTCAAGATACGACAAAATTAAAAAAAGGTACATTAACATAAAACTAATAAAATAAAACTATTGCTTTGTGTTCAGGCTTTATTGTGAGTACCATTGTATTATGACATATAATTAATTGTCATTTTGCATTGAAGATGAACAATTTTCTTTTTCTTTAAATGCTTTTTTTTCCACGCATGTAATTATTTTTTCACAAATCAAAGGCGCAATAATTATCGCAGCAATCAGAGAAATCAGACTACTAAGACTAGCACAAAACATGTTTAACCTTAAAATGAAATATTAAACAGAATGATGTTGAGTTCTTGATTTTAGTCGCAGGATCTGCATCTGCTTAGGTATAAGACGTGCTAATAACAGTTTGCCGTCAGCGTGCCCCCTTTTCTAAAGTGATCTGAAACAAAAATCGAAGTAATTTTGGAATTCGACATGATATTACAAAATTAATAAAGTAAATGTGCTTATCTTGATTGCTTGCTTTATTTATCCACACGTTTTAATATAAACCAAACCCAATTCATTCGAAACGAGGCCAAAATTTCAAGACTGATTGCCGAAATATCGTTTGTAATATCTGGGTGTTAATTTAATTAAATAACTATAGCTATGGTAATAAAAAGTAAAAAAAAATGACTTTATCTTCGAAGTAAAGGAAAAGCTTGCTCTATTACTAAAATAGACAAGTGCATGTATTTAGAAAGTTTTCTCAATGACTCAAATATGTTTACATCCAAAAATAACTGTATTCAGAAGAACAGTAATTCATTTACAGAAAATATCTTTCATTCCGAAGTACAGCATATTCGTGCTAAATTAGGTTCAAGAAAAGATGTGTAATAAAGTGCTTGAGATTACAAATCAAAATTGACTAAAGTAACTAAGGTATAGAACTTTAAAACCCGTTTTTAGTGTTAATTCAATTATAAAATATTAAATTAAATCTACGAAGATGTAAGGTAGAACTACGCGCACAAATACTACACAATTTATAGGCACCGACTATTTAAAAACTAGTATGGGATCTCCTTAAGTCTACTTTTCAACAGTGTGCATGAATTTGAAATGATTTCATTGCTACCCAATCGGTTTTGATTCGTCTACATCATCGACATTAGGACAAGACAAATTTTGTAGTCGGTAACTGTCTTTGTACAACAAGAACACAACAGATGATTGCCAGCACGATTCTTGCTATCATCGAACTAAACTACTTTTACATCTGATACAATCTTAGCAACTTACATGCAAGGGCCAGCTCTACTGGACCTGACACGGCGATTTACAGAACATTTGTTACAATCAGACGCCAAAAGATAATCCTGATATCAAAATTATCTTAGCGACGTTCCACAGAAATTTGTCAAGCATATTGTTTTCACAGAAATTTTATTCACACGATATTTTTCTTACGACATCTGACACAATATGAACTATCAATATATTCTGAATTTAAAAATTTATTCATAAAACTCTATCAGTGTCATTGGTTAAAGAGACAGGAGCAACTGAACTTTCTGAGGTTGTAAACGAATAAGAAAAAAGTTTCTTATGGCATTGCATTAGAATTATTTTTCATGATAAAGCTTGCAAATGAGTAGACAGGTTATTTGATGGTAAGTGACTACCGCCGCCGAGAATGTAGAATGAAGAACTCCCCCCCCTCTTCCCCTTCTTCATTCTAAATTCTCGGCCTAAATTCGAGCCCTCCGATGACATCAGTCACTCAGTGAAAGCAACGAAAGAATTACTTAACACCGATTTCCAGTGAGACCGTGATATCACTCCATTCGAGCTGGCCATTTTTTGGGCCGAAATATAGCTAACTTACGGAATGAAATTCAATCAACCGTAAAAAACCTTCAATTTTTTGCTCAAATATAATGATTTAGCTATAATAAATGAATTTTAAATTAATTGTCTGATTAAAATACCGTTCAGCGGCTTTTATAGAAGATACATCTGTTCGGTCGTTGACCTTCCGTTACGGCGAAAAGTAAATAATCAGCCGTGAAAGCACTTTCGCATTGTATCCGATCAGAATCCGATCAGAATTTGTGTGAAAAGGTAAAACCTGAATTGATTGCAATAGCGCGTAAAAAATATACGAGTTCAGTCAGTCAATCCTTCCAAATTCGTAATTATCGGTCAGAAATCGGAGGTAGTACGAAAGCCAATTCTATATCAATAAAAAAAAAAACCGCATTTTTACGGGTTCGGATCGCATTCAAACTCAAACTCTCTTTATTTCATAAAACTTTTAAAATTGTTTGAAATCGTCTTTTATGTAGAGTTGTAGATCAACACACACAAAAGCAACAATCTCTGTTTTGTCAAATAGTACACAAATAAATTTATCAAAAAAAAAACCAAGGGGTTGAGCCTTATGAGAAAAAAGGGCAAACAAACTCATGGCCACTCCTTTGCAATTCACAGATAGATACAATGGCATTATTAAATATACCACAACATTGTTTTAATGTGTGGCAGTATGCCCGTTATTAAGGACTAAAAGGTAAAAAGACAATGAAGCGAAAACCAGATTAAGAAAAAAAACGAATAAAAGAGAAAATGAAGTGAAACATAAAAAATATAAAAAAAATGATAATAAGAAAAACTCTAGCCCACACCACATTTTTACTTAAGAAAGAAGTAGCCTGCGCTAATTAATCCCAAGCATTTTTGTCATCTATGTAATCCACAATTGAGGAGTAGGCTCTCTGGCACAAGCCACGTTTTATTGCGGATTTAAATTCGTTAATACTTTTTTTTGGATTTAATTATAAAATCGGACACATTGACCTCGAAAAGACTTGTTTATCTTTTGGAGCCTAGAGGCGGGTGTTATTTCTATTTCTGGTATTTATAGAATGTACATCACTTCTTCTCAAAAAGCTATCTTAGTTTTATAAACATATATTACATTTTCATAAATATATTGACTTGCCACTGTCATTATGTTTATTTCTTTAAATTTCTGCCTAAACAACCATTGCCTAAATTACAAAGTGCTCGAATCGCTCTCTTTTGTAGTACAAAAATAGATTTTGTAGTACAAAAATACATTCGTATCGGACTTTAACGAAACCGCTCTAGCTTACAAATAGGTTTTTATTGGGAGCTTATTTTACAAAGATCTTAGAGGGCTGGGATTTAATACTCAAGCTTACATTGTTTACATCCCAAAATCAAGATAAGGACTATTTCATTTTGAAATTTATTAGAGAGAAATACTTTTGCAAGTAAAATTTAATTTGTTAAATGTAGCAGCGGCAGAAACAAAGAAATTAATTAACTAAGTAACAGTCGTTGGCCATTTCTTTAATGTGAAATCTGACGATTCCTAATAATTTATACACTAAAAGAATTGACATGAAAACTAATGGAATGAACAATTTTATTCTAATTCCTGCTGCTAGTTCTAGTGATATTAATGACGATCGCATTAATGATTTGTATAATAAGGAAGGAAATGTCCCTTAAGATGAAGTACAGGGATTAGTAAGAATAAGTATGAATTTTTTGTCGAATGCGAAGATAAAACCACTTGATCAAAGTGCGAATGTTAATACTTTATTAATATGTTTATTTATTTATTACAAACTATGGAGGATTTACAGCTATGATGATCAGAATAAAAGCAGTCAAGAAAACAGACATTCAATTACAAGTCCTCACTTATATAAATCAGAAAAGTTACAGTGAACAAGACAATACAGAATATTATCAAGAGGTATTATGAAAGTTACAGGCACAGATCACTTACACATTACACAGATTACTTTGTGTCAACTTGTCATACTTGCAAACATACCCATTGGGGATATTCCTATTGTAGTATTAACGTCCTCTTCGATAACTCCTATCGGCAGCAGATGATGGATCGAGCAGCAATTGAAGGCATTTTAGATTATTTATATCTACATAGAATCTCAAAGCCGTCACAACATTGTAATAAAAAGTGTCGGCTGTGTGACTGTGTCCATCAATGATGATACGCTATCACTATAAAAGATCAATTTGCACACACTAGCATAGAATTGCATGCTCACCACTAGTTCTCTTGTAGTGTACCTAGACGAATAAATAAATGAGCTATAATATAAATGATAACTAGCGACTGCAAAAGTTTCTGGTCATTTTTATAGGCTAAAAGGGGTGGGTCAGCCATTTATCCGGCTAATATGAGCGATGGAGTTAAATTTGCCAATGATGTAACTGAAATAAGTCCCTCCCGACCCGTGGTCCGACCGCTAGTTCCAACTGGTTATACCACGTGTAAGTAAAACTATACATGGTCCAACCGATTATACCACGGGGAAGCAAGTTTGCCCGTGGTTCAACTCTACTACAGGAAAGTAAATTTATCAGTAGATTTTTTTAATTTTTATAAAGGTCTATTAGCAACCTCTTAATTACCTCTCTTTTTATGATCTATAATAAGAATCGTTAAGAGCCGGAATATTCCCAAAACCTTTGAAAAGCGGCCACAGTAGTACCCATACCTAAGTTAGGCCATATATTAATTTGAAACTATAGGCCAATTTCTATTTTGTCCAGTATTGCCAAGATTTTGATTACATGTACAACATTTTTTTAAGCTTAGTTTCACAAATCATCAACACGGTTTTATGTAGTCCCGGTCTACTTGAAAAAATATTAGCATGTTTGTGGAGACTTTGTCAGAAGCCTAACATAAACAAAAAGCAAGTGGATATAACTACTGACTTCAGTAAGGCCTTCGACAAAGTTACACACGAAAGTCATATAGCAATTATCACAATATGGAATTGCACGAAGTTTTCTCAAATGGATATAATCATATTTAACGGATCAGATCTTTCATGTCGTATTACACGGTTACACATCAGCTACTTATAGGATTACATCTGGCGGTCCACATTTAGGACCAATTCCCTTTAGCATATTTGTCAATGATATTCCCAATTGTTTCTTAAATTCGAATCCATTTATGTTTGTCGACAACCTCAAAATTCCTAAAGTAATAAATGTCCTAGACGATTTCAAATCACGTGGCATTAACAAATATATCTGGAATGCAAAATACTCTTAAGAAGTCTTCATATCCATTGATATAATACTTACATAGATGAGTAATTACCGCCTAAAATCGTTGCTACTGCACATCTGTCCACAGGCATATGCGTAGCAAACGTCAATTCAGTATTCAATGTGGCGTCAACCGAGTTGAACATAGCGACACATGACATTAACAATCGCCAAAATGGCTAAATGCGTAGTGAAAGAATGCGATTCAAGGTCACAAAACATTAATAAATCATGCGGAATTACTTTTCACGTGTAAGTTTATGGTTTTTGTATTGATAATATCGTAAATAAGGCTATAATTGAAATAAAACACTGATAATTGTAATTTAGAATCAGTGTTACCATTAAAAAATCATTTTGGTTTTCCCACATTAGTGGGAGAATTTATAATTTTTGAAATAATATGCTTTATACTGTTTTTAAACATTTTGTCAATAATAATAAAATATAGGAAGAACGGTAGTTGTTAGGGCTGGACCGATCACTTTTTTTAGGGACCCGTTGAACGTTCACTGCGAGCTTGGCAGAAGTGCCAAGCTCGCAGTGCTGGAGACTTTTGTACAAAAGAATTAATTCATTGTTTTTCTTAATTTATTATCAATTTTAAATAATAATTGTACAAAATAATAATAATAATAATAAAAAATGTTTATCATAAAAATAAAAAATAAAAAGGTAAATAAACATAAATAAAAAAATTAATAAAATATAAATAAAAAAAAAAAATTTTTTTTATTTGTTTTTTAAATTATAATAGAATTTGCAATACACCCTGGGGATTATTTATTATCAGTACAAGTTGATCATTCACTTTTATTATTAAATGCTATTATTTTTACATACGTAAAAATAAGATTGTATCATGAAAGTAAAATATCCACACAACCTTATAAAAAAGAGTCTAAAAGACAATTGTATACAAAACTGATGCTTCACAGCGCAGTTAGATTTTACACTGAATATAAACCCTTTTAACCAAATATTTCCAGTTATTTTATTATTTATACCTATTCTATTCAATTCGAAATATATTTTTTAGAATATTTAAATTAATTTATTTTTTATTACAAAATTGTTTAAAAAAAAAATTGATTCTAAGTTGTTATGGGTAAAATTTCATACGGTAGTCAACACTGGCCCACCATCGTAAAGTTATATCTTTGTCTTTGTCTAATCCGAGCGATGGTATTGTTCTTGTCTCGCGTGTAAATGAGACATAAATATGTTTACTTTCAAATGTTTAGTGGTATCAAAGCTACGTCGTCAAAGTTCAAAAGTGGTTACACTTTTTTCGACGTGTGATAATGAGGTTTGCTTCTCTAGTGTTGTTTTAACTCAATGTTCATATCGTTATGAATACAATGTTTAATACTTCAAAATTGAATTATTTGAGAAACTTAGGAAGGTACTAACCTTTTATTTATACAAATAAATAAAATTGGAGTGTCTGTTTGTAATATTAAAATAACCGCTTTTTACTAAATGCATATGTATGTTTACACGGTACATATGTCAAAATAACATTTTTTCAATTTTTGTCTGTCTATCTGTCTGTCTGTTTGTGCCGGGTAATCTCTGGAACGGCTGGACAGATTTCGACGGGACTTTCACTGACAGATAGCTGATGACATAAGGAGTAACTTAGGATACTTTTTTTAGACTAGCTGCGCCCCGCGGCGTTGCCCGCGGTTATAACAAAAAACGCGGGTAACACCGCGGGTCTCAGCTAGTTGTTCTATAAAATTATAATGAATAAAACAGACTGTCCAATGCTTCTTAGTAAAAATAAACTGCGGATTCCAACGAGATATTCACGTTCAATAATCACTCTTTTCTGCCCACCCCTACGAAGAAGTAACTGTCTCAGTATCAATTTCTCCAATCTGTCGTCTAACTAGGCTTACCAATGACTACAGTAGCTCACTGGATGTATTCAATGATTCTTTGTGTCATTTCCGAAAATATATTAACTCCGTCATCGACAATTAATTTCACATTAAATTGATGAACACAACAGTCATTTTTGTCTTTTATTTGTTAAAAACTTTTGAATTTTCAAAACTAAGTATGCAAGCTGTACGTAGTTGGTGTTGCATGCCTCCGGGCTGTCTGGCGTTGCGGCCGGGTTGTGCTGTCTATGAGTCAGCCTGTGACCATGGTGTTGCGTGGTCGCTTTGTTTACCATTCGTGTGCTTACAGACTTAAATTAAATAAATATGTATTTTATATAAATTATATATATATACACATGTTTTCCTATTTTCACTTTGTTAACACTATGTGCATGTTGTGTTTGGTTGAAAGTGGTTATACATTAGCTTAAATACTGGCACATGTCATTTCTTAAATTACCATAAATAAATAAATTATCCCTTTAAGCAGTTATTTACATTCATTCATGCAACATAAGCTTGTACAAAGTAGTCTTGTGCCTACTCGGTCACTTCAGAGATCGCTCCGAACTAGTTCAGTTCGGACAACGAACTAGTTCACTGTAATAGTTCTATTAGTTCTATTCGGTCCTTAACTCTAATCACTCCTCGGAACCAAATATTATGTATTTAAATCAGACATCTCAGACAGAAACGTTCTTTGGCTTTTACCACTTACACTTACCCTTTCAAGGACCGACACCTTCAAGTAGTGTGTTAGTCGATAAGATAGTATTGTAGAGAACATCAGTTGTCCTGCGTACTGCGTGCTTGAGTGGATGTCACCATCCCTACTCAAGCAATCTACTCCGTATTCTTAATCCATCATCACACGTGCATCACATGTCTAATACTTTATTGATTTTTTAAAAGTACTATCTGTTTATTGCAGAGTACTCCATCTATATATTTATAATGTTAAGTTGGTTTCTGTACGCTTTTAAAACTTGAACAAGTTCTGCACTGATAGACCTCAAGTTTTGACATGTTAACCCCCTTCCAAGATTGTTTTTATAATTTTTCGTTTCAGTTTCATTTATTTTTCCTCAATGTAACCACAATGTTATTATTATTATACAGCTATTATTATTATACAGGGGATGTTGAGCAGGTGACGTTAGAATTTTATAACTTACATAATCTCTACTCTAAGTAGAATATCTAGAAAGTAGAGTATCTAGTAACGATACAAATGTATAACAATTTAAAAAACAAAGAATATTTGATAAAACAAAAACATAAGATATACAAGTTTAATTTCATAAGCTAATACAAACAATTTTACACAACATTTTTTTGCTAGTCAATAAAAATACAGAAACAGAGGACATGTAGTACAGTTAATCAAAAATTAACGCCATCACGAGCTGATGAGAAAGAGAAAATATTTTTTGGCATACAAGGTTATAGCGGTCCATGCTATGTTATGGCCTTCTAACGCACTTAATAAACTTGTGTAGTTCAAACTGTCTGTAGCACATTGGGACACAAGAAAGAACCGTGGCTGACGCGATCAGGGCATACAAGGAGAAGCAAATCATTTTAACAAATCTTAGCTCAAATCACCGTACTCTCGATTTTGGAGATAGCACCGTGGAGTTGTCGACTCCTGGAACAAAGTAGTAACATTCTTTAGGTAAAGCGTGATGTTGAAACTGACCAACTAAGTGAAGGACAAGACTAGTAGAATAGATTAAAGCTTGCAAAACTTAGCATTGAATTTGAGTTGATAAAGTTATTTAGAAATTGGTACACCTGAATTTATTGTGAAAATTCTGTTATTTTAGATACATAATATATCAGATTTTCATGTAGACTGCCCTGATTTTAGTATTAATTCACGAACTACATGACAACGTTCAATTGCTGAAATCTGGATAATTATCAAAAACATTTCTCCTTCTTCGAACGCCCAACTTAATTGAGCTAACTACATCATTCATTCATTTTCCTTACTGTATAAATAACGTACCTTATGAGGTAATAATATAGGCCGTAATAATATAGTAATAGTAGGCCAAAACCTCCACTGTAAGGAGAGGCCTATGTCCAGCAGTGGACTACTCAAGGCTGTTGATGATGAGGTAATAATGAATGTAAAGGTGACGATAATTAGAATATTGCACAAAATGCACAAATTATAACAAAAACTGAACGGATAGAGATGAAAAATGCAACAAAAAGAACGGCAAGATTTTATTTTATTTTCAACAAACAAGTAGAAAAACTAATATTCACTCACAAGGAACAGTTGTATTAACTGGGTATTATCTATTACACTGGTGGAATACATTTGAACAAATTAAGTGACAAAACAAATTGTCTTTTAATAAATACATATCTAGAAGGCTTTTACCAGATGCACAGATGACACAAAAGACTGGTCTTATTTCTTAAGGCACTTGTACAACTTGCTTTTTTCTACACGTTTTGAGTACATTGGAGCGCATATTATAAGTGCAGCGATTAAAACGGCAGCACATAAGTTAATGCAAAGCATTTTTTACGAATCTTGGTTTGGAGGGAGACCTGATTTTCGGTTACGAACTTGGAGACAGCACCGTAAAACAGTTGACTCCTGCAACAAAGTTGGAGTAAACTGTTACAAGTGCGGTGAAGTAATTAAATGTCTAGAGCATTGGTCGAGGAGATTGATATAAAACAATTTCTTTTGCTGTCGTTACAAAGAAACAAACTGTAAACGAAACATCTTTCTAAAGAGCTCAATAATGGGAATCAATAATTGTAAAGTAAACCACTTCAAATCAAAATAAAAGGCAAAAGAAAGATCAGCAATGCACAATCAACAACACGATTGAGCCCTAAATCTGTGACGAAATACCACGACACCAATGACTATCAGACTAAAATTAAAAAAGACAAGGCTGCTATAACGGCAGAAATACGAAACATTTGTCACTTAGATAAAATCGATTGGTGAAATCCATAAATCGAAAGTTCGTAAAACTCGAGTGCTAGGTAGGTAGTGCTAGGTAGGTAGGTCAACATCCTAAACAAAACACTAATTTAGAAATGGACAAAAATATTTAATAAAATAAAACTTAAACAGTACAGAACAACAGTGTGTTAGCTAGTTGTTGATTGGTTAGGGCAGCAGGGGCTCAAGCATATGACTTCAGGTGAATTCTTCTTTTTTATTTTCAAACAGATTTTTTGCCAATATACATCTATGAGCAAAGGGATACATGCAATGCAGCTTACAGCCAGGAATGCGGTCAGACAACTTGTGCAGATAATCATGTCTAACTATTTTCGAAGGCACTTGACAAACTTATGCATTTCAAACTGTCTGTAGCAGACTGGAATGCACGCTAGAACTGTGGCAGATGCGATTAAGGCATACAGGGAGAGGCAAATCATTTTTATAAATCCAGGCTTGGAGCCACCTTTTTGCGGTTATCAATTTGGAGACAGCACCGTGGAATGGTTGACTCCTGGAACAAAGTAGGAGCAATCTGTAGCTGGAGTTTTTCAAAGCTGTACCTCTAGCGTATTTGTGGAAGAAACAGCGTGTTATAAATGTACTAATACCGGGAGGACACTTCGCATAAGGAGTGGTTATGAGCTGCTACATCTGACAAAAAGTACTGATAAAATAACAATGTCATACAAACCTATAAATTAGAGAATATCCCCGGAAATACGTTGGAATGTGTGCTTACGAAAAGAAATCACCAGGAGCAAAGTAGTAAGCCTCTATCACAATCCGAATTGCAGGAAAAAATGGGCGCACACATAATTTCCTGGATTTCTCTAAATCCCCAAAAGTTTTCACTTAAAAATTTAAGCCATGACACAAGGATTACTTTGGTGACAGTTTCTACACACGTCAATATTTGAATGTGCTATTCTGTGATAAAAATACAGCATCGAATTTGCTGCCAGTTATAGACCATCCATAGAGTATTCTTAATGACTTTTGTAAGCAGAACCAAAAACTGGAGAACCTTTTCCTCCTTGATGCCATTATTACACACCACTAATCTACAGTTCGAAAGCTAGTTTGAAACTGTTTAATTAGTAATGTAACTAACGATAGTTTAATTGTGTCTCATGAAAGTTGGTGAAAATAATAAATCCTCTTGCCAACTAGAACTCTAACAGCGCTGTGACCGGGATGGAAACTAATTTTAATGTAAATGGTAAAATAAAAATCAAACAGAATTGAGAAAAATTTGAGGGCTTTATTTTTTTAAGGTTATGACTTAGGTTTTTAAAATAGAGTGGTTTAAGATGTTGTATATGATGGGAAGAATCGAGTAGATGGTGTGGATACTTGGCTTACTTCTTTGGTCTAATAACCAATAGGATAAAACAATGATACAAAACTTGAATAATAAAAAATAGTAATATCAGGGAAAAAGTATGAAGTTGCCGATTTGTACTGAAAAATTGAAACTCGTTTTTTTCTAAAGTGTAACATATTTATTCAATCAAAATATAGTCCTTCATTATCTATACATTGCTGCCATAAAAATGGAAGTTCATTTATGCGTTTACGATAGAACTCTGGTGATCTAGATTCGACAAACTGCGTGCTGCAAAAATTGTCCAAATCACAAAAAAAAATTGTATTCCGTTGGAGCAAGGTCTGGCGAGTACGGAGGATGACGTATGGTTTCTAACTACAGCTCCTGTAGAGTCAAAACAGTTTCTCGGGCTGTGTGAGGTCTTGCCTTATCATGGAGCAATAATCGTGAAGATCGATACACAGTTGGGGCTGTTTCACTGCCAGTTTCACCATCATTGTTCAAAGTTACCTTTTCATTGGTAAGCTTTGCTTTAGAGCTTCAACCTGGGGGTCAGCCATTGCATTTTTCGCTTACGGTTATCGTATACAATCCACTTTCCGTCACATGTCACAATTCGATCCAATTTTCATTCATTTCTGTACCGATTCAACAAAACAACACAAGTTTCAACACGCATTTCTTCCTGCAGATCAGTCAAATCATGAGGCAACCATTTTTCATATTTTTTAATCAGATTGATTTGATGCAAATAAGTCAATATCATAGGTAGGGTAACGTTAAACCATGCCGCTAATTTTTGGATAGTTTGACTCGGATCGACTTCCACCATCTTCCACGTGGTTTGTTCTTCAAGTCGAAGTTTCCATTATCAAAGCGTTTAAACCAAAAACGCACGGTGCGTTCATTAGCAGTCTCCTCTTCAAACGCAGCGTTCATCGTTTCCGGTTTGGAACTCGTATTCAAAAATGACTCGGATATACGAAGTATCCATCTTTCACGTCTAAGCCGAAAAAAAAAAAACAATTGGAAGTCGAAAATCTAATGTTGCACATTTTTTAAAAGAAGAACCTCATAGGTATCATGTGAAAATAGTTTCACACGAAAACCTTACACCATAAAGCTTTATGTAAATTCAAAGTATCTATTACTATACAACGTCAATTTCATACTTTACCCATATTACATGTAGTTGTACGTGAAAAAAAACGAGTTTGCCAAAAGCCTATGTTCCAAAGCAATTTTAACATGCTAAACTGTGTGATTAATGAACAAGTCTGGAGCATGACCTTGAAAGAAAAATAACCTATGCTTTATGCAAATATGAATTAAAGAATATGAGACACACAGTACATAGTATTATGAAAATAAATGATATAATCGAGTACCAATATCAAAATAATATTAGTAAAAAGGCAGAAAAACAAAAAGAAAAGGTGCATAGGGTAAATGGAAAAAGATTTATTTCATAAGACACACGGACGGTTCAATATTTGATAGAAACAATAGCTTAAGAAACGGTAGCTAAGTTTAGCCAATATAAACAATTTTAGACCCAGCTGGACCTGCTCTCCTTGGTTTTAAAGTGGGATTTTTAGTTATAGTTGACTTTCCAATATCTGATGCCTTAGTTTTATTGAGATCGAACCGATATGTTCTACGGTGGAGTCAACTATCAGGGCCCGAGACAAAATATGCAGAGTTCTCTCTCTCTGTGCTACAATGAACTCAGTGTATGGCGTCCGGGTCAAGAACTCTGAATGGGTCTCGCTAGTACCTTCATTTGATTTTAGAAATCTAGATCTTTTCGCGCACTATTACTGCTTCAAATTTAAAGGGAATGGGTCTTGGTTTCTCAACTGATCAACAATTCTATGACAGCGATTAATATGATCAGAAGAAAAGGAGTCACATTTTTATCTGTTCTTTGACTTCCACCGCTACTTGAGAGTTCTTCTCCTCTTCCTTCTTTTCAAAGAAATGTAGCAGAATAATTTTGCGGCGGCTTAATCTTGCCCATATGGTGCCGCACCCCATGAGCATCATAATCTAACTGATTTTGGAAAGATCTCAATGTCTTAAAGATGAGAAATTTAAAAAATGCAAACTAATATGGCCAGCTAGACTAGTAGTGATGGCAGATTCTTTCCGCAACTCAATTTCTAAACTTGTCATCCTTTTCTCAAAACCGTCCTGGATTTCCTAATATTTCTCATCGTTTATGTGTGATTATTTTGTGACGTGTTTCTTTTATTAAGTAGTCAATTAATGTAGGAAATAACACCATACATACATAGGTGTTTATTGCTCACTTCTTACTTTACTTCTTTTAATCATTAAAAAAAATTAAAAATAGTTTTTCACCTCTTCCCAGAAAGGAGGTTTTGGCCTGCTATTCTATTGTGTTTTTATTTATGTTAATTAGTAAGATTGAGAGACTACTGGGTGAGTTTTACATATGTCAGCACCATTTATTAAACCATCTTCAGTCATTACCGTAATTCAAGGATCAATTTACGATTTCTTACAGCGCTTAGTCAGGTCAAACAAAGAGAACAGTGCTAAGGCTCATCCGGGTTCAGTAGATACTGGCTGTCTAGTTCGCAGGATTTAAAATAGGCATCTAATCAATAAAAATAAATAAAAATTACCCCCATTAGTTAAAAACTGATTCATACGATTATTTAGAGAAAAGAAAATTTGACTAAAATTTGAGACAGTAAAATAGAATTAAAAACTTTCTCTTTTTGTGTCTGGAAGTCGGTTAAAACTGTTCAAATGTGATCGTACAAAAAAGATTCTAAAGTGACACGGTATTCAAGTAAACAAGTAAATTTTGCGTAATTTAAATGTTCGTTATCTTCTAAAATATTCATGGAAATGATTCATTCTAGACTGTCATTTAATCTACAAAGTAACTAGTATATGTGGACGCAATCCTTAAAAAAAATGTTGTTTTAAAGTAATTTCGGTTTAAAGGTCTTTATTTATCATTATGACATAGTCACTTACATGAGAACAACAAGAAAAAATAATGTTAAACACTCATTACATGACGGTTGTCCAAGACTCAGTACAGAATGGATATGATGTCAAACCATAGCGACCGGTGGTACAAGTTAAGCGCATTTTTACGTTATAACAATAGTGTTGAAAATGTAGATCGCAAGTTTTTGTTTGAAAATGTTAAGCGAGCTTGCTTATTTAACATCCGATGGAAGTGGAAGTCTGTCATACAGTCGTGCACTCTTGAAAGTCACTGTATTTTTACCATAATTTGTTCTTACACGGGGTAATACTATATGGTTAGCACGGCGAGTTGCATATTTTAGTGTTTCCCTTTTTATTTTGAACGTAATGTGTGACTGGATAGTTTGATGAATAGTTTTGTGTATGAGGATACATGTATTGTATGTACGTGTATGGTTTTTCAAAGTTCATAAGTTTTGTGTTTTTGTATATAATTTTAGATGGCGTTATATAGTCGTAATGATATAGTGTTTTTATGATTTTGTTTTGCAATACCTGTATTGGTTGAAGCTGCATTGCCCCAAATCTCAATGAGATAAAGTAGGTGAGACTTTACTAGGGCGTTATATATTAGATTAGATTAGATATTAGATTAGCTTAGATTCTACGTATTCTATGTGTGCTCGCCAGGTTAACACTTTCACGGACAGTACGTCGAGAGACGTAGATTATGACCCTCATAAGATTACACTACGGCTGTAGATGGCGATTTAAAATATACCAAAAGGAGAACTCCGGCAACGGCCGACTATTTTCTATGATATTTATAGGTAGGATATGACTCTGTGCCGTTTTAGGCAATAATAAAAACAACTAGGAGGAGAACGGTAACCGATCTGATGGTAACATTTACACTCAAAATATAGAGCGGCTGGTTGCGATTTCGTCTGTGGCCGTTACTGCCGCAACGCGTACTTTATAACCGAGTAATGTGGCAATCTGCCCCCAGACGTGAGGCCACGTTATATGGAAAGTTTGTGTATCATATCACAAATTATTGAGAATGTTTTTGTGACCGTGAACGTGTTAAGTTACTGTCAAGCCACAAGGCAAGATACCTTTCTTTATTAGATTTCTGTAAGATTTGTGCGTTGATTTTTAAACTCTCATGGTTATCTATTTTTTTACTTTTGGCACTGAAAGTTATACATATATGATGATAGATAGATTATACTGGAACCAGTTTTGTAGAATATTTAAGTCTTCTTGCTCGCATTGTATAATTTACAAAATAAACATGTATCGTCTGCGTAGAGAGTTAATTGACCTCTTAAGCCTGCTTCGTGGATATTATTGACATAAATCAAGAACAGCAAGGGCCCGAGGACTGATCCCTGTGGTACACCATAAGTAAGAGGTTCTGGAAACAAACAATATTTTCGTTTCAGATTAAATAAATGCAATTTTAGTAAATAAGTCATCTAAAGAAATATTAAATTCATTAATATGCTCATCTTCTGTATTAAGCTATATTTAAGAATTACTTTGTAATGTTATAATTTATTTGTTGAAAAAAAATACTATGGTTGCTATAACTGTTGCAGAAATTATAAATACAGGATGTCATGTTAGACTAGCGATCGTACAAGAATAAACAAGTGATTAAAAGTGTTTTATTGATATTGCCGCCGAAAGTGGTAACTCTGACCACAAATACTTAGTAAGTTAAGGAAGAAAGTTACATAGGAAAAGTGTCATAAATATGATCCGGAAAAAATGAAATCGTAAATGGTTACTGTGGGATAATTGTAAGAGAGAGACATAAATCTTGGTAGACTTTTTATAGATCTTTATCTCATCTTTATAAAATAAACAGATGTGTAGCAGGTACATCATTTTAAAATGTCTAGTAAAACTTAGTCAACGTTTTACAATAAGAGCGCCCTGAATACACATTTAGAACATTCTGAAGAAAATTTCTAAATGACTACTGACCCATCAAAATCCGTTAATATAGAAAATCTAGCAAAGAGAGAGACAAACACGGTGCGATTACTATGTAAAAAGGTATTATACGATACTGACCACATTTACCTTCTGTCAGAAATACTCTTTGGCAAATGAAAGAATGAAATTAATTCGAAAATTTAGAATTGCCTCTTTCATCTCTGTCAAACTGTCAAAATAAACTGACCGTGAATTGTTTGTGTCAAATAATTTGAAAAAAATACGTATCCGCCATTCTTTAGGGAAAAAAGTTTAAAAACTTATGCTGGTTCCCAAAGAATTCGGGCAATACTCCAATATTGCCGGTATATACACATAGGATAATTAATTAGTTATAAATGAGACTGTTGGTGGTCCTGCTGCTGACTGCGTCAGTGTGGGCCTTCCCCGAGAGAAGGTCGGCAAGTAACGCAGGGCCCCTACCACAGACCTCTCAACAACTACACGCACAGGCACAGAAGCTGGAGAAAGCACGAGAAGCGCAAAGAGATTGTAAAGGAAAGTGTGCGTCAAGTATAGCCCAGAAAGCAGCAGCAGAAGCAAAGGCTGCGCAAGCAGCTCAGAATGCGGCAGGAGCCCAAGCCGCTCACATGGTGCGTATTTTATTTTTGTATTGTTATTTATCGACAAAAAAGTTACAAAAATAATTTTATATAATCTAGAAAACCACTATTTTATTACCATATACTTCCATTGCTTACTATATTATATATTGTACATGATAGTTACAAAGTTTTAAAAGAAGAAAGAAGAAGTTACAGTAATCTACATATCAATTTTTTTATTAATACTAAGACGAGATGGCGCAGTGATGACTTTCTCTCTTTTTTTTCTTATGTTAGAGGGGGCAGACGAGCAGACGGGTCACCTAATGGAAAGTGACCATCGCTGCTCATATACGTCTATAACTCAGGAGTCACAAACGCGTTGCCGGCCTTTTAGGAAGGCTCTTTTCTTGAAGGTTTAGCGAGCCAAAAAGTGTCTCGAAAAGCGCACAGTAGTGGAGCGCCAACTATCCAGGTAAAGACGATAAATTTTTTGCCGTGTGGAACGAAGGCGGAAAGTTTGCGCTGGTATTAATCCGAACAATTCCTCGGAGCACTCTCCATGATAGATGCGATAGAGAATTCAGAGTGAAGCCACATCTCTACATAACATCGAGGGATCGAGCCGATCGGAGATGTTTGGGATATTGGATTCGCTCTTCGTTGGATGCGGTCCAGAGGGAGAAGCTGGTACTGAGGTGCCGCTGCATAGAGATGAGAACGGTATTCCATATGCGGCCGGACTTGCGCCTTATAGAGCTGAAGGCGGTGAGCCGAAGTGATATACTGCCTTGATCTCTTCAGCACACTGAGCTTCTTAGAGGCCAATTTGACCTTACCCTCTAAGTGAGCCCGAAACTGGACTTCGCTCGATATGTCAATGTCTATGTCCTTTTTGGGTTGAACTGGACTAGATTGAGTAGGCCCCAATCTGAAACCTCCGCTAAGTTTCAATTTCAGATACAAGTTTATTTCGACTCTCGATGACGTTTTCCCGAGAAATATAGAAGCGGCCGGTATAAATTGCATCTCCCGTGCTATCATGTGCATAGCTATGGAGAAGATGCTACTAGTTTGGAACATGTCATTGAAATGCCATGCAGAAGGAACAGTGTGGGCGATAGCACACAGCCTTGTGGGACACCAGCATTTACGAATTTTAAGTCGGAGCATGCGCCGTCAACAACTACCTTGATGACGTAAAGGCCCTGTTAGAATTATGTTAATATTCTATTTAAATTATTTGTTTATAATAATATTTCATGTTAAGTTTGTCAGCTCCAGGAAACTTAGCCCTTTAATCTACTAAACTGTTCTTATATTTGTCACTTGAATAGATGGACAGATATAAACTTTGTCATCTGTTATTTCGTTTCCCTCTCTACATCTCTTATATTCTGACCGTTTCGTTCATTTATCCCTCAACAACATCGTATAAGCTAAGTTTCAAAGTGGTTTTGTAAATTTTAATTGAGGCATCGAGACATTGATCTTGGTGAATAATTTTTAGGTAAAAACCCAACTAGCTGAAAAAGCATTACAAGCTGCCAAGGCAGCTGAGGCAGCCCTCGCTGGCAAGCAGGCTGTAGTGGAACAACTCCAACAAGAAGTGAAAGAAGCGGAAGCCGTAGTCGCTGAGAATACCGCCGCTGTTCACCAGCAGCAATCAACAGTGAATGCTGCAGTACAAGCAGCACAGCAGGCTACTGCTCAGGTGAGACAAAATATTGAGATATTGGTTGTAGCAATTACAATTGTTGAGCTTTTGATACGATACTGCTTTTGTAATAAAACAATAGTTAAAATGAGACACAAATTTAATTACAACTATAATCGTTGCCCATGTCAATTAAAAACTATGGCAAAGCTCCCTTAAAGTATTATATAATTCAATTATACAAATTCCTATTAATTCTAATTCATGGTTCTTCAACAATTCCTACCGGAGCTTATGAAAAGCGAAATCAAAGGTTTACGAAGTTCAATAATTAGCTTTTGGGTCAAATTTTTGCGGTTACTACCATTTCTCTTATTTATTTTTTTAATTTATTTGGTAGTAATTGTTGAAGGGTCTTTCCGGTTTGGTGAATACTTCGTAGAACTTTGTTTTCTCTTTTCCGTAGGTTTTCAACATCTGGAAGTATTATCTGTTGTCAAAGACCAAGAACCATATCAACTTCATTCGAGCAATTTTACCACAAAAATGATTTGTCTGCCACTGTACACATATGTTGTGTTAGCAGTATTACTATCGTGTGTCCCTATGTGTATAGAAAAAATTGCTCGTCAATCATGCTCCTGTAGGCGCAAGGACGAATGCAAGGAAAAGAATGGCGGACCTACGTGTACATAAATTCTTGTAATCCATTTAATCATTTAATTTTCAATGTGAAGTAAAATTATGAATTGCAGTTATATGGTCTTTGATTTCATCTCACGCTTTGTTGTGCACTATGTTGGTCAAATAATGGCTCCACTGGACTATGTAGAGTAATTGGTTGAAAGTTTTTGCTAACCAATAGAAATCTAAGTTAATTAGTAGTATTTATAGTACCATGTTCCATACAAACAAGTATTGAAAATATTCCTTGATCCAGAGAACGACGCACAGTTATATAATTATGGCTACGTAAACCGGTATTCCTGATTTGACCTTCATAGGGAACGTCCTTGATTTATTAATTGCTCATGCTCCATTCCGGGATAAACACCTACATCGGTGCAGTGTCAGGGTTTGATTGGTACTGAAACGATGTACGTGGAAACAATCACAAATCCAGCATTACAAATCCACTAGTTTATCAGGCCTGACGTTTATTTCACGTGTACTGGTTGCCGTCCCCGTGGACTTCACAAAACATGTTACAATGTGGTGATATGAAACCACAGTGAAACTTAAGTATAGTGGGGAAACTCTGAGTTGGTATATTTTATTTAGTCACGCGCACGTATAATACGTAGCATTTAATGTTCAGTTCTATCACTAGGTAGCGTATTCATAACTAATACGACGCATAAGAAGACAAGACAGATTAGTATCTCATACTTCAAGTTATTCTCATTATAATCAGTATGTGCTTGTTTTATTTAAACCATAATTGATATCACTTCAGTGAGTTCGTTCGTCCAAGGACACGTCGAGTTTCAACACTGTTCTTAGGGTCCACTGTTGTTGGAAGCGAAGATGGACTGGGAAGTTTAGGCGGCAACCGTGTGCTTGTGAAAAGAGTTTGTTGGAACACCTTCCCTTGCTATGCCCTATACACTACACCCATGTATGTGCTTAATAGAATTTCAAATTCCGTGGCCACAGTACCAGTAGAATATAACAAAAAGCAGTTAGTGCATCCCACAATATTGTTTCTTCCACTCCAGCATAAGCTATTGTGCCAAGCGACGCAACTGGCGTGCCAGCTGGAAAAGTCCGCCCACTGCGTTCTGGACAAGACTAAATTTGGCCTACAAGAAAAATGTCACAATCTGTCTGAGGCGAGAGCGAGATTGGCTCATTTACAGCATAAGTTGCAATGCGCTTGCACTGAATGTTCTATAACGAAGCAGGCTGCACATAGTGCTTGCGAAGCTGCGAGAGCGGCTTGTGGTAATGCTCGAAAGAAAAAGCAAGTTGCGAGTCAGTCCCCTGTAGTCTCGACGTAGATGCTCGAAAGTCATGATTTTAAGAATACTTTTAACTATTTTGTTGTCCAAAGTGTTTGGCGAAAATAAAAATATTTCTACACGATACAAAATGTTAACAGGAACCATATATTCAGTTAGAGTATATTTATGTTAACCGCAGTATTTGTAAATACTTAAACTGCCAATATGTAGTTTGAAAATAGGACCTAATCGATTATAACAATAGTGTGAAATTAACACATTTTTATTTGTACAAAATGGAAAATTATAAATTCATGTTTTTTTTTGAGAAAAGTTATATTGTTTCCGAAAATTAACAACATAAGGTAGGCATAGTTTTTGGTAGTTTTTCGTTAGTACATTTTTTTGAAATGAAAAGAATTCGTCAGCTATCTGTTTTGTGGTTTCTGATTTCTTAATGCATTGGAAATTTAATCGAAATTTAGTCTGCAGCTTGGTGACTATTATTTTCTTTAACTACGAAGCCTGTTGCTATTTGATTTTTAGTGTGTGTTGTGGATAATTAGGATATTAATGTTTGTCATATTTTAGATAGGTAGGTTTACTTTAGTTTTTTATTTATTTAAGATACGTTTTATAATAAGTTTTTTAGATATTTGGATTCGTTTAAACAGCATGAAGTATGTAATATTTGGTCATGTATTTTTATTTGGCAGAAATAGAAAGTTCTTCTAGACAATCATGGGATCCTCACAGTTGCTACGAATATGACCGACTTTGTCACTGTCATAGAAGCCATTATATAGTTTGGAGTTACCCACACACGGTTAAGTGATTAGTGTAGATACTGACGCCTTTAGTGTTTTAAATGCACCTAGTATTATTTATCTCACAAACTTTCTAAATGTACATTGCGAAGGAGTTTCCCCACATTTCCTCTAACATGACGGCAATCAGTAAACTTGTAAAAGAATTATGGTAGGCGCAAAACATGTTTATGAGATGAAATACCTGTAACACTACTCTAAATATAATATTGAAGGTTATAAAGAATCCAAAAAACGTCAATTCCTAAACATTACAGCATAAGCTGCTGGCCCAAGCAACCCAACTAGCATGCCAACTTGAGAAAACAGCACACTGCGTCCTGGACAAGACTAAGTACGGTTTGCAAGAGAAATGCCACCATCTGTCGGATGCTAGAGCCAGACTTGCTCACCTACAGCACATGTTGCAATGCGCGTGTGCGGAATGTTCAGCGACGAAGCACGCTGCTCACTGCGCTTGCGAAGCAGCGCGAGCAGCATGCGGCAACGCTCGAAAGAAAAAACACATCTTGGAACAGCTCACAATAGGATCGAAAGATGAAAGTAAGCGAGGTCGATGATCATTAGGATAGTGTTAATAATTATATAATGGTTCTTCAATTTGAGAAGTAGAGGAAGAAGAAATTTTACTGAACCTAATGCACAGATGAATAATATCCTGTCCGTGTGTGAGTCAGTTTAATAAGTTATTACTGATGTAAAACGTAATTATGAATAATAGGTGCCGTTTTCTGTGTTTTGACACTGATTGTATAACCGTCAGTAATTTTCAGTTTCATCTGTATCTCTAGAACATATCGTTTTCGATGCTAAAATATATAAGTTAGCATGTATTCTGGAAATTATTTCTGGTACATTTCACATATCCTATTTATTATAATGTATGTTTTATATGTAGGTATCATTGAGCGCTCTCGAAGTCTCGCAGTGCAATTTCATTACAACAATGATTCATACGAAATTTAACTTTTGGTATGTAAATATACAGTATTTGTCAGATGATCCGTGTATTGCAATGTATTTTTAATGTTTTATTTAGCTTTACTTAGTTTTATCATGCTGTGTAAGACGTGTTACGTAATATAAGCTTTTGATATGGGTCAGTTCGTTAAGGTTTCTTTATTATAAATATGATTACTGTAAATTGTTTTTAATTTCACCAATACCTTAGTGAATGATCACCTCAAAAATATCTCGACTACTGGCATATATTGCATTCTTTTGGCGAAACTCATTACTAAATACATATTAATTAGTTCCATTGGAACTAGTGAGATTTTTTTCTGGGTAGTTCCATAGACTTTAGTAATAGAACAAGTGAAATAAAATTTAATTGGATTCGTGTTATTAGTCCTTATTGTCCGACTAAGACTTATTGTCCGTGTAGTGACGGATTGAGAATACGGAAGGTCACTACCCCAATTCATCCTGGGGCTGTCGTAAGAGCCGACTAAGGGCGCAAAACAACGCAGGACACCAGCACTGCAAAAAGAAGGAAAACTTGACACAAACCCTATACCAACCCGTCTGGCCCAAGGAGAGGCCCATGTCCAGCAGTGGATTATTAAAGGCTGTTGATGTCTTATTAGTTCTATGGAACGAGTGACATTTTTTCTCAGTAGTCCCGTGGTTCTTCTCAGTGGAACAAGTGAAACTAAAGTTCAAGTTCGTTCTCATCAATTCCACTTTGTAAAAAATATTAAATATTTATAAGTAAAAAAAAAACAAAAATATAAAAATCAGTGGTTTAATGCAAGTAAACATGTTTTTTCTTATTAAAAACTATTCATTATTTCACACAGATCACTATGCATTGGAGATCATGGCGTTGGTGTAGTTTTATTCATCTCATCAATTCAATTGGGCTAATTTTCTAAAAAAATTACCATATATGCTAATTTAAACAAAAAATTAGCAATGCTAATTCTCTGAAATTAATTCCATTATCTGACGAAATTATCATTTTCTTCTCTAAGGGTGCAAGTAGCTGGTTCGGGCAAAGACGCGGGTAATTTGCGTCAGTAGCATGCACGTGTTATTTATTGCACGTTAATTTGGTTGATATAATGTGCGTGCTGCTCGTACGGGTTACATATAAGTCTTGCCCGTTTCAGATTTGACACGGTCCAGTACCCCAGGGTGCTTGTACACGGTGAAGTAGGTGGAGGAAGTGATCGCGTTAAAATGTCTCGACGAACGAGAATTCTTATAAAATCATTTATTAAAAATGATATTTTAGCATGCGCATGTCCGTACTTGCGCAAGTAATTGGCTCGCGCGCACCGCGGATCGTGAGCGTGGCCCGCGCTAGTACATGCTCTAGTCGCTGGACACGCATATGCTATTACGAGTAATAAGTTGCTTTCATTCTTTGAATTTGTGAATATACCATGTAAATCAAACCACACCTTCATTCATCACTAAAACGACATAAGTCAAAAAACGTTTTACTGTTTTTAGGGTTACGTACCTCAAAAGGTAAAAAAAGACCCCTTATAAGATCACTTTCTTGTCCGTATGTCCGTTTGTCAGTGTGTCACCACCTATTTTCTCAGGAACGGGTAGACCTAGCAAGTTGAAATTTATACTAGATACTGAGGTCTATGATCCCTATTAGGTGTATAAAAATCAAGGTCCTGGGTCAACACGATAAAAAGATATGGGCAAATTTCGATTTTCGTGAAAACTTATAAGTACTAAAATGTACCTTAATTTTCATTTCTTTTAATTTTTCAGAATTTTCTCTTTACTTGTGCTGTAGTTCCTCGCTTTTATTAAAAATTGAAAATTCTAGGTCAACCGGAAGTACCCTATAGGTTTTGGGTATAAAACCTATATGGTAGTTCCCGTTGACCTAGAATCACGAAATTTGGCAAAAAGAAACGTCTTACAGCACAAATAAAATAATCATTCCGAAAAGTAAAAAAAACTGAAAATTAAGATAAGTTTTTGTAATTACAAATTTTAGCGAAAATCTACGTAAAATCTGGGTAGGTACGGAACCCTCGGCGCACGAGTTCGACTCGTACCTGACTGTTTTTTTTTCATTATTAAGATTGATCAATTGCGAATTTTATTCTACATTTCAACCTTTTAGAACTCAAATAGTATTTGTGCCCAAAAAAGTGTTTTAGAACTAGTTTATCTGTAAATTGACAGAATTGTTATTGATGCCTGACTGTTGACTGATTGTGTGACTTGTGAGGTTTTTGAAATGATCGATTCTATCATATAAACATTTTTATAAAAGAAGTACCTACATGATGTTTCACATTGGGTGCGCTTTATTCATTTATTGAAATTTTATAATTTATTACAAAGTGGATCTAATAAGAACGATGTTGATCAACTTTGTTAAACTGAGAAGAACCATGGAACTACAGAGAAAAAAATTATCTCACTAGTTCCGTTTAACAACACGGTGGGACTAGTCAGATGAACCGATTAAGTGGAACTAATTGTCGGTGGAACTATTGAGATGATCCATATTTTTCTTCTCCTATTCTTCATTTTCGTCTTCGACATTTTGATTTGATCAGGTGAGATGGAAGGCACATGCCAATTCCTATTTTTCAAATAAATTACTAAGGGGATGGCTTTTTTTTTAGGCAAGGCCATTTTACTGAAACAATTATTAATCTGTAGTTCGAATTAAATATTGAGATTTTTGATTTTTGACAACTTATTTGTCTCTAATTCGAGTCTTAGTTGTAATAGAAACACATTTTTGTTTTAATATGAATTATTTAATTTAAATTATATCATAACGGGTATACTACACACACAAGTGATGATGTGTATAGTACTATACACGAACGAATATTTTTCTAGACCCAGAGAGAGTCTTAAATTACTAAGAAGTTATCTGCCATTCTGTCTGTCACAAGACTTCTCTTATAAATACGTACGGTGGATAAACATTATCAAATACATTGTACACAAATGGAAATTCGATTTGTTTCGGCGATTTCGGCGAAAAAGATGACTGGACTTATTTAAACACAAACGGAGACATAATTAAGCTAACTAATACATTTGTCTAAGTTAGTAATGCTATACCATTAATGTAAATTACAATAACACTATCGCTCTTTTGACAAGACAAAGGTATAATTGCATTTGTATAATTACAGGAGGGACATTTGAAATTTGCCTTGCACTATTGCTTTCTGTTAAGTTAAATTACACTGTTTGTTTCTGTTTATAAGGTTGTATTTTCCCTTCTTTTTTAATAGCAGTTTTTAATTAATTTGTCATTTGTGCCTTTGTCTTACCGAAGGTGCGAGTTGACCTATTAACTATATTTAGTTAATGCCTCTATTTTAATTATTTCCGAAGAAGTCAGATCCTTCAGTAGACCAAATGTCTTCGGGCATAATTATGCCGTATGCTACAAAAAGGTGGTTACATGTTAGGATAGCATAATAGACGGGCACGGGGCAGTGATCTAACTGTTCTGTTCAACTAATTGGACTCGACCAATTGGGTCTTTACTAGGGGTTGTGGTTCAACTATTTCAGAAGATGGACCAACGATTCCCTGACGACATAGCAAATCAAAGCATTTAAAAAAAAACGTACATTTTATTAAACATGTCCGTGTCCATGAAAAAGGGATACTAACTGTAAACTTTATAATTCAATGGCATTCAATTTAAAAAACAATCCGATTAAAAGTTCAAATATTGTTTGCTCGTTTGTATCATAAAAAACAAGTAAAATATGTAAAGTTGAGGATTATAAATTGAACAACATTTTTGCCACAACTACAGATACACCTACTAATTTTATTTACAAAGCAAAAAAAGAAAAAAGAAGATAGTTTACAATTAAAGATCACCATACTAATAATGAGACCTTGTAGTACAAAGTATACTGATTAATTTAATGCATGACCCAAGCGACTTTTTCATCTAAATATACTAAAATAATCCTTACTATAGAATAAATAAAGTCGTGTATATAATGCAGTAAACTGACTTTTCCTCCATTTCAATAAGTAGTATCTTTGGAACTTGAGATAGTCATATTTTCCAATACCAAGACAAGTTTATTAATAAAAATTTAATACATTTTGTCCATTATTCTTATTCAATCTTCTAATATAAAGAAGTTGAAAATAGCCTAGCACTATTTTTACACTATGCTGAACGCATCGTTTAAATTTTGTGGACTAAATGCCATGTTACTATTTTTATAATTAACATAAGGCGAGTTGGTTGCTGATGAGCCAATCTTTCGATTAACAAACTCACTATAAGGTACAAATGAATGTTCGTTATCTTCAAACATTGGTGCACTTGGATTAAATTTGGCAACGTATCTTGGTGGAGGTTCAGCGTACTGTCCACCAACAACTATTTCTGAATCAAATTCAGGCTTTTTACCTCTCCAGGGTTTATTGACTCTAAAACTATTGTCAAAGAAGTAAGGTTTCTTTTTTGAAAATCTCTTGTCTTTTAATCTTATTTGGAATGAATCAATTTCATCAAACTCCTCGTCTGGAGTTGTTGTTGTTGTGATATATGTTTCATCTGGATCTGGCTTTGAATAAGATGGGTTTTTTTTCGAATATGAGATATAAGTATCTTTGTTGTTGGTCAATGTTGGGTAAGATGATGGATGATAGTTTTGGTGATCATACTGTTGTGTGCTTTCCTGAAGGCTTGATGCTGAAGGATGTACTGGTATCTCGTTAGTTGATTTAAGGGGTACACCGTAAGAGTCTACAGGAGGCTCACCATAACTCTGTTTTGGAGGAAAATAGTTGTTTGCATAGTTCGTAGGAGGTTCTCCAAAACCTGTGTTTCCAGACGCAGTGTGGGAGTAAGGCGATTGCTTGATTGAATGTGCGTGTTCGGGTCTGTGTTTAGGAGGTCCATACCTTGGTTTTAAGTTTCGTTTCTTGTGCTTATTACTTCGCGGCAAATATTTGGGGGCTATATGTTTCGGTCTATGATTGGTCCTAAATTTTTTGCCAGGTTTTCTGGGGTATTTTGCTTGTTTGTGGCTTTTGTACCTAGGCCTGGGAACTCCGTATTTGGTCTTTGGTGGTACAAATCTTTGTGATTGAGATATTCTTCGATATATAACTTTAGGTTTTTGTAATGCCCCGTTCACAGGGTTTTCTATCATTACAATGGGGTCTCGTCTGCCGTATCTTTTTTCAAGTCTTAGTTCTTTTCTGTCGTTCGTTATTTCGCCGTTTGAGTCCACGCATGATACTGCTAAAGTTATCTGAAATGTAAAAAAGAAGCATTTGAATTGTAATTATTATCACTTTTCTTTTGCAACTGACTTAAGACTTGACTGTACGGATGGCGTAGTGGTTTAAGCAGCCGCCACGCTGTTTCCTACTGCACTAAGTGTTGTGGGTTCGATCCCCACGGGGATGGAACCCACAATACTCACACTTTGTGTGATACACAAATTGTTGTTTTAAGTCTGGATGTTCTTTGTGTCCCTTTCATGTATGTATGTTTGTAAAGTCCCCCGCGACGCAGGATGTATATTCCTAATGCGGGAGTTGTTTTTTTTTTTAATGAAAATGAAATGAAAACTACGATGAATTTTGACATTTAACGCCTAAATTTATTTACTAGAATTTGTTCTTGTTTTCTACTGCCTTTTACAAAATTGTCAATGTTTATAAATTTTCTAGGTTTATTAAAATACACCTAACAGAGAAAGCAGAAAGTTTACTTACGATGATAATATATAAACAATAATAATACACGCTGTAATATATATCTATCTGTGCATTCAAAGTGAGAGTATATACAGGTGTTAGAAGAGTACGAGTAAGATGGATCTAAAAATGTTCAACAAATCCTTATAAAATATATTGTAACGTAATAAGGACTGCAAACATCGTGATTTAATATCTTCTATAGTCAACAGTTAAGGATTATTGAAAGATGTTACACTTGAAATTATCAAGTTTATTTGAATCTGCAGTAATTTAATAATAAAATGGATGGATTAGTGACACGTGAATTAGAAGACGACCAGTTGTTATCTAATGCAAAGACATCAGGAGTCAAATGTGATATTATAATAAATGAATGCAAGGTGTTCCTAGAAGCTGAAGATGGAGGTGGTGATGTACAATTTAATACAACTGCCACTATGATTCAAGATAATCAAGACAATAATAATATCCGGTACTTTTCTAACACTTGGTATACTTTGAATAGACAGATAGATAGATATTTTCACTGAATGAAGGAGTTAAAATAGTTGTCTGTAACAAAAAAGATCTAATGGTGAGAAAATAAAGCATTAACATAATCACTGTGACATTAGCCAAACACCCGAGGCTTGGATCTGAGCTCATGACTAATAAAATTATTTGATATCATGAATAATTGTTTATCGTATTTGATTAACAGAGTTGCTCGTGAAGGTGATTGAACTTTGGTGACGAAACCGAGCTACGCTTTTTGACAATTTATATGTTACAGATTCACATATCCGTTTCTTATAAAATAGTTTCTTAATTTGTGAATATGCCTAAATTATTTAAAAAAGTAAAAGAAGTAACACGAAACACGTCGAATCTATGGTTTTAAATATACTTTGTTTCATGTGATACTTAGAAATCACTATTTGATGCCAACATCCGTTTCTATTACTATTTTTGTTTAATATCTGAGGCGGGGTTTGCGGTGTCTTTTGATTTCAAACGAGATCATTTCCTGTAAGAGCCGCGAGAGTCTCACTCTCGAATGACAAGAGATGAAATAGTAATAATAATTGACATTCATGTAACAAAAAGAATTTATTGAAAGACTCTTAACTCGGTGATGGGTTTTGGGTTCCAGTTACCTACTCGGTAAAAAAGCAACAAAGGAATTGCATAATACCGGTTTTGTGTGAGGTTGTGAGACCCTGGTATCACTCCCTAACACATATGTACCGGAGGATGGCTCTCCCATGTGCCATTATCCGGACGCTTTGTATGGGTATTTCGTTTTATAGAAACAATTTCTTACAGTGTCTATTAGCTATTTAAAACCAACAAATTTCTTTCTGATAGAACTCGTTATGGAATTTGGACGACATAAAGATTCCAACGAGCCTTTACAGCAACATATAATATTGCACATGATACGCAATATTTGAAATCTCAATAACCATCTAACTGCCAACTCCGTGTGGTGACGGGTTAAGAATACGGAGTGTCATCACCCCTATTCATCCCGTGGAACCAACTAAGGGAGCCAACTACACAGGACAACAACACTGCAAAGAGACGGAAAACTGAACACACACCCTATACCCACCTTGGCCATCGTGGTATAGTAGGCTATAACCTCCTTTCTAAGAAGAGGCCCATGTCCAGCAGTGGACTAATAAAGCCTGTTGATGATGATGATGATACATTTTTCTTTGAAGTTAGAGTTTCCGCTCGTCTGTCTTACTGCGATAAAGATAGGTAGGTCCAGCATTGGACTATTAAAGGCTGTTGATGATGTAAAAATATCTCAAAATACCTGTTGTTTCTTGATTTACGTAGGTATGTCAATACCACGACAATAGCGAACATATATCAGTGTTAAACAACATAGAGATACATCCTATTTTGTACATAATATTTGTCATATTACATGACTAGCTGAGACCCGCGGTGTTACCCGCGTTTGTTGTTATAACCGCGGGCAACGCCGCGGGGCGAAGCTAGTCTAAAAAAAGTAGCCTAAGTTACTCCTTATGTCATCAGCTATCTGCCAGTGAAAGTCCCGTCCCCAGAGATTACCCGGAACAAACAGACAGACAGACAGACACAAAAAATTGAAAAAAATGTTATTTTGGCATATGTACCGTGTAAACATTCATATGCATTTAGTAAAAAGCGGTTATTTTAATATTGCAAACAGACACTCCAATTTTATTTATTTGTATAGATGGTACAATCAAAGCTCAAAAATAAACGTATACACTCTAACTGCGTGTTTCTTACGAGATGTGGGTAATTGGAAGTGTATGATTGTCTGTAACAAATTGTGTTTGAATAGCTGTTTTAAAGCCAACATTAAAGGTTTTTTTCTATAATAGTTAACTCCTTATAATGTAAAGATCACATGTTTTATCGAAAAATTTTAGGAATTAATGTCAGCTTATCGCCGTCCACTACTGAAGGAAGTTCACCTCAAGAATTGATAACTTTCCCGGTCTTGATCTGTCTGCATCCATCCTCTGTCGGCATCCATCCTCTTCTTATAAGACTTTTAAATTAATGTTTTGAAATGTTTTTTTAACTTATGTTTTGCATTTAACTGTGACTTCTTCCAGACAACTATTGTTTAGATAAGTGGTTTGAAATATTGTAAAACAGTTACGATAGTGGTTGTTCGTGTATATTTAAATATTTTTTGTTCGTATTTGACTGGTCTGTTGGTCTAGTGGTTAGTGACCCTGACTGCTACGCCAAGGATCGTGGGTTCGATTCCCAACCAGAACAAATAATTGTGTGATTAGCACGGTCATTTGTTCTGTGTCTGGGTGTACTTTATCTATATTTTGTACTAGCTGACCCGCGCAACTTCGTCTGCGTCTCTCAATAGTAATAAATTTTCTCCGTTTTTGAAACATTCTTCATTGGTGCTCCGCTCCCATTGGTCTTAGCGTGATGATATATAGCCTATAGCCTTCCTCGATAAATGAGCTATCTAATACTGAAATAATTTTTCAAATCGGACCAGTAGTTCCTGAGATTAGCGCGTTCAAACAAACAAACAAACTCTTCAGCTTTATAATACTCGTATTAGTATAGATGTATTTAGAAATATATAAGTATGTTTATCAGCAGTCTGGTTACCATAGCCCAGGCTCCGCCTAGTTTGGGATCAGACTGCCGTGTGTGAGATGCGTGTGAAATATTATTATTATTATATAGTACTATCAAGATGATAGAAAAAAGGCCAGGCCTTATAAGGTTCGATTACATTGTTAGTAATTATTGACACACTTCGTGTTTTAGACATTTGAAAATTGGGCTTTGTAGCGTTAGATAATTGTGAAGTATTTATCCAGGCGCCACAGCTACTTTTACTACGACAAACACGAAAGCAACATACGCAAATGCTTGTAATCACGATGTACACTTTCACCACAGCGGCATTATTTTATAAAATTACTTATGACACAGACTAAACGATACGATTATAATAATCCTATTGAATTACTTGTTTAAAGCTCCGTGCGACGTAGGTTAAGAGTAAATAAATTAGGGGTGACAATACTAGACGGAACATGGGGTTCCCACACGGGGGGGTCGTCTACTCGTCTGTAGATGGCCCGAGGTATTTCGGGGCACCAGGGACTTCCTTTCTAGGGTATACCTGGTTCCCCGGCTATTAGTACCCGAGACGGCGTGCGATTTTAGTCGGTTCGGGTCCGACATGCTACCGATAGGTGGTATCCGAGGGGCTTTCCGCAGGAAAAAAAAAGGGGTGACAATAATCTTAAATAAATGAAGTAAGGCGATTTTAGAACTGGTTTATTTTCAATTTTTTTATACAGTCGCTTGCTTGACGTAATCCTTCCTGGGTATTTAATCATTTTTAGACAGTAAGAGAATTAAGATAAGTTGGGGTAAGAAAAATGGAGAGAGAAGGCGTGGGAGTTAGGGTAGGGGATGCTGCAAGTATCGAATGGGGAAACGAGGCTGAGATTGCAGAATTTCGAAGAGGCCGGAGTCATCGAGCATCGACCTGTGTTTGGAGAGCTGCTTAAGACAGGGACAAGCAGTGGCCGTTATAGAACGATAAATATTTGTTTTGCTATTTGTAATGAGTTTGTTTAAGATATGACGTCACAAGACATCTTTCCGTGTGGATTAAGAATACGGAGTGTCACAACCCCTATTCAACCCGTGGTTGTCGTAAGAGTCGACTAAGCGAAAACTAAGCAGGACAACAAGGAGAAGGAAAACTTGACACAAACCTGTACTAGACTAAAACCTTCTATATAAAGAGAGGTCTAAGACCAGTAGTGGACTTTTAAAGGTGTGTGATAACGTCACAAACAGCTATTTTCGCATAATATTTACCGTGGGAGAGCCATGTTTCGGCAAATATGGGTATGCTCGACCGGAGTGATACCACGGCCTCACAGAAAACCGGTGTTAAGCAGTTTTTTTGTTGCTTTTCACCTAGTGAATTCCCCTATTTCTGGGAGGGAGGACTCAAAGAACGACAACACAGTTATGACTTTTGAGTTGCTTTAGTTAAAGGTATCTCTGGACGGCAGTAGTCACCTACCATCATATAACCCGTCTGCTTATTTGCTGCCTGTAGGATAAAAAAAGCCGTGTCGTGGGACACCCGATAGGAACGAAGTTGTGACGATCGAGTAAAACTGATTTGACACGATTTTAATTACAACGCCATCTATGAAAGCGGCTATTACCTACATATTAAAAACAATTAAAACAATTTATACATTGGTAAAATCTCCTTGCGACATGATTTCCTATCTATTCGATAGATGGCGCTGAATGACTGACAAGATGACACGAAAATAAAGAGCAAAAAGCCAACATCACGTGGTATTCCCAGGCGGTCACCCATCCAAGTACTAACCACGCCCGATGTTGCTTAACTTCGGTGATCGGACGTGAACCGGTGTATTCAACATGGTATGGACGTTGGCGAACGTTAAAGCAAATTTAATGTATGGTATCCACAGTTAGACGTCAATTTATATTAATAAAAAAGTGTCGTTCCAAATTTTCGTACGAATTTTTTTCCGTCTAGCCCCCTTTCACAACGCGCGATAAGGAACTTCGTTCCAATATATGTAGAGTGGCAAATAAAACCTCTTTGCAAAATACAGTGAAATGGAGTGTAGTCGGGTCCAAAAAGCTGGATTTGTAGACAGTGGAGCATCCGCTACTCGGTCGCATCTACACTAAACTGTTTCCTGTATACCCCAAAACGATCCTGTACCAAAAACACATAAATAAACTAAATAAATTAATTACCGGTTTGTTTTCATTTCACCTAGCTAACTACAATATTGTGTTATGATAACAATATTAAAGTTATGAGAATATATTCGGATCTAATAATAAACAACACAGTAGAGATCGGATGCTGCGAAAGTACAAACAACTGATTATGGTTTGGTATTCATTGTGTACAGGAAGTATGGTACAGGAAGAAATTTTATAACCTTGGTACAGTCGAGAGCAAGAATATGTAACTCTTCATGAAATA